AAAAAATCACTAAAAAAATATTTGATGACTTCTAGTGATTTTTCCGAATGTTGTGTTTTGGGTCCTGGTTAAAGTAAAATATGCACCGCCGAGTTAAAATTACCTATTTCGGAAATATAAATCAGTTAAAGTTAATGAAGAAAAACTGTTTCAGTTAACTCCCGGCTGATGTAATATTATGTATTACTATTGCTCAAACAAAATCAAAACAATCAAGACTCAATCAAATTTTTAAAGTATGTAAGACGACGCAACGACACCGCTCCAGCGTCGCACCACCGCCGCAACATCGTGTATTTTGGGTCTTACCTAATCATGATGAATAAAATATTTATAACGACGGAACCCAAAACTTCTTTTATCTCCCTCGACAACTTTATTGTCTCAAGTTGTCGGCTCTCGCTGGGCCTTTTAAAGGCTAGTTATATATTATTTTCGTTACGATATACAAATGATCGTCCACTTGTGGGATTATATCGAATCGGTCGAATGGACCTATTTGCTAGGCGAATGGTTGATAGAGACGTGGGATGCTATTGAATTTGTGTCAGATATTGTGAAATGAGGTGTGCCTTGTTTTGTTTGACGGGCTCTGTGTATCTAGACCAAAAGTAAGACAATTGCTTAGTCGATGAATGTGTTGTTTACGGACTACTGTATTTATAGCAATGATGGAATAGCAAAGTGGAAAAAAATGTGCAGGGAAAACTGGGAGTTGAAAACTTTTGAGTGGAGAACGTCAACTATGTAATACGGTGGTTATTCTCATCACATCAGGACAGAAAATCAATATTTAATTTATATTAGAATATAGAATTTTAATATATAATTTCTAGCGTTAAGAGTCGGATCTCGAACTGTACGGGTGATTGCTCAGGTGATGAGAGCAGTCGTCTGGCAAGCGAAAGGTTGTGGAATGTGGATTCGATTCTCATCTTTAGCAATTCGAATTTGCCAACCTATGGGCATCAATGTTAAATTGATATAATATTAGTATTAAACAGTTTACCCTGTAATCGAATTCCAGCTTAATTTAGACGTTTGATACGTTGTTTGCAAACAGCCCAGTAATACTCGTAGTGTGGTAAATAAGCCAGGAGACCGATTGAAGCACAATGTATCCTCTCCCTTTGAGTTTGAGCCTGTGGCCATAATCCAAATGAGATGGGAATAATTAACGACCCAAATATGCGGATTTACACGTGTCGTGTGTAAGACATTTAAGAACATGAGCCGCCTTTGTGATCCAGTGACCTAACTCAGATCTAGAGTTCGTGGGTTCCATTCCCAGCGGGGGCAATATTTTAGGTTTGATTAGTTTTAGGACTTGTTCTAAGCTTGGCTAGCTACCACCATCTTACGTAAGTCTTTAGGAATTAACAGCATTGTTAAAAATATTGTTGTGCTTCGGCAGTTAGAAGTAAGATAGTCAGTGTCTCTGAGGTTGAGGATTCCAGGTGCAAATATCTTCCAACTTCAGCCTGATATTCACTAATGAGATTCTAATAAAGAGCTTCTTCGTTGTGCATTAAAAAGCTAACGTTAACGAAAGTGTAAAAGTTTCCACTGATGTTACACCCCAAATAAACAAGCAAATTCAACGGAAAACAGTACTTATTTTTTTGCAAAAACTCAGTTGTAGAACTGAAAATCGAGTGCACGATCTCATTGATGAGAAGTGGCATTTCCCGACTAGTTTTACACGCTCCATTTACTACTAACAGTCGAATAATATTCTAGCTCGGGGAGCTACAAAGTTATAGCCTCACGTGCTCCTATTAAACTGGGACGACGCGAATATCTTTAGTGAATAGAAAGTGTACTTTAATCCTATATTTACTTGTAGTTGTATCAAAACTAAAGTTATGTAAATAAAGTTAAGGTACGGTTATAGATGCTCATAAAGGTTTCATACTGATAGGATGCTTAAAAAAGCGTGCTCTTACTCGAAATTAGCATTGAGCATACTTTAAAAAGCACTTTAACAAATGTAGCAAATGCTTAATGGCATGCTTTTATGCTAGTAATGAGTGGTGTAACTGCACTATTCCACTATTACACTTGACTCTTCTGTAGCATGCTCAAATACAGAAACTTAATTAAAAAATTACTGTCGCGAGTTAAAAGCATATAGCGCCATCTAGTGAATGTTCATACCAAGCATGTCAATTTTTTACTTAACTTCTAATAGACTAAGAGCTAGTGAACGCCAGACCTACGTTATTTTATAAAGGCTGAAAGTTTGTCAGCGCATGCTCCCAATATAGCTAAGAACCATGGCCAAACATGAAGTTTGGGTCATGGTGGCTTTGGCAGACAGACGGTACTAAAGGTGTGTAAAATACCAACTTAATTACGTCAAAGTATAAAGGCTGATTTTTTTATATTTCCTTCAAAATGTTATTAGAAATGACGTCATTAATTGACAGACACCTACCATGGTGGCAGTCCTTAGCCAGACGCCTTAAAGATCATGAAAATGTAGTCCTACTTACGTCATACTATAAAGGCTGATATTTACATAAAATATTTGAACTATCATTTGATGAAGTTTCCTCGTCAGCCAGACACTTCTGATGGTTCCTTCGCCTTACCAGACAGCTTTTAGGGTGGCTGAAAGTGCGAACGCGAGGCGCTATAAATATTGTTTTTTGTACTTTTTCTTATGTTACTCAAGTATTTGAGTCTGTAAATCATCATCTCATGTTGATGAGCTGATGATGGAAGGTAAGTACAACTCCTTAAGGCTTAGGTAATCCCTAATTTTAAAGTGATTACCTCTGAAAGTTGCCTAGAGTAAAGTTCTTAGCAACATTATCATTACCTATGTTAATGCTAATGTTGCTAAGAACTTTACTCTAGGCGTTTAGCAACTATTTTGAAGATAAAATTTGCGGCACCACATTTTCCGCGTATATAAATTCTAGTGAGGATTTGGGGGTCCTAATTCAATATAGAATTGTTATAGTATTATTTGATACTATAAATTTGATTATACTATGCATAGTAATAGATATATCGTGATGGTTACGCTGGTAGGATACTCTGCAGCGCAACCACTTTCAATAACAAAATACGGCGAAACCTGTGACATCATTTTTTTTTAAATAGGACTAGAATTTTATAGACATTTCAAAGATTTATTTTAGAAACTTACACTAGACTAGTTAAATCAAAAGTAGTTCCGCCGGGGAGCATGACGTGAATTATCCTACAACTCCTAAGCGTTAAGGAGTTGTACCTTCCATCAACATGGGATGATGACTAGCTGATGCAAACACCCAAATAACTTTAGAAACTATACTTATATATACTGGTTAAGGAATTGTCCTCCAACTCCTAAGCCTTAAGGAGTTGTACTTACCTTCCATCATCAGCTCATCAACATGAGATGATGATTTACAGACTCAAATACTTGAGTAACTTAAGAAAAAGTACAAAAAACAATATTTATAGTGCCTCGCGTTCGCACTTTCAGCCACCCTAAAAGCTGTCTGGTAAGGCGAAGGAACCATCAGAAGTGTCTGGCTGATGAGGAAACTTCATCAAATGATAGTTCAAATATTTTATGTAAATATCAGCCTTTATAGTATGACGTAAGTATGACTACATTTTCATGAACTTTAAGGTGTCTGGCTAAGGACTGCCACCATGGTAGGTGTCTGTCAATTAATGACGTCATTTCTAATAACATTTTGAAGGAAATATCAAAAAATCAACCTTTATACTTTGACGTAATTAAGTTGGTATTTTACACACCTTTAGTACCGTCTGTCTGCCAAAGCCACCATGACCCAAACTTCATGTTTGGTCATGGTTCTTAGCTATGTTGGGAGCATGCGCTGACAAACTTTCAGCCTTTATAAAATAACGTAGGTCTGGCGTTCACTAGCTCTTAGTCTAAATGCATGATGTCTTCTATTTAAATCAAAATTAAATAATCACCTAAAGCTATTATTTAAATTGTCGTATGTACCTTACTTATGAGAAATAGATTTTCCAATAATTCACAAATGTGTAACGGATAGGTACTTAGTTTCAAAGTGCTAGGTGGGTTTCAGTCTGACCTAGATCCTGACTACATTAATTTATCACTGTAACAGTGATAGGGTAAAGTCATTTTGGGACGTGCCTATTACGGTCAGAAAATTAATGTTCTTAATATGTTTGAGCTTAATAAAGTTTCGCTGGACTTTGATGGATGTAAAATTTTTGTTTTGGCATAAGTTTGTTCACCTAAAAATCTATTAGGATTTAGGGTGGTTTATTAAAAAGTTCAAGTAAAATATTTGGAACAGCTAACAATAAACTAGAATCCGAACGATCTACTGATACTGATAACTAGTTAGGAATTATTACGGACCGCAACTTTCTTTTATCATGATTTACATAGATAATAATAATAATGTAATTATAAATAATACGAAATTTGGTACCTACAATATAAATACGGATTCAAAACTAATTAAAAAAGTAATTATGTACATAATCTGAAATTTAATTTCGCTGAGATGACATGACATTAAATTTTAACATCTCTCGTATTTAACACAGCTTTAACAGTTCCTGGAACGTTCATTACATGTTAAGTTATAGATAAAAATCAATGAAGTAATCTATGAAATGTCATTACGGAACCGCACGAATAGAGTTCCATTTATTCTTGTCTGGGAAACAGTTCCGCTGAAAGCAGACTGGGATATAAAGAAAACACTTGGAAATTAAAATGCAGGTTTATTAATCGTACCCGTTCTTCCTTAGCTCTTTTATGTACCTTCTTTATCCTCGTGAATGTAAATTGACGTATATTAACATCAAGTCGTACCATGACAATTTTGATCCGAAGCTTTTAACGCCCTATAACACTAATGCTAATTTTCATACCGAGCCCCGTAATTTTCTAACAATTTCGATCAACCAAATCCAACAACGGGGAAACATCGCAAAATCTAATTCAACGTTTTAACGTAATGACTTTCGTTGTTTCAGATTAAACGAAAATGGAGCGGCGGATCGCGGGGATAATCTACATCCTGATCACTTTTGCTCTCGTTAACGAAATGTCAATTAACGTCCAAGCAAAAGACAACAACAAACGGAAACCCAAAGAGAAAAGTGGCGGGTTCCAGAAGAATATTTGTGACGTCAGCGACCGCGACTCAAAGGTCCACTGCTATTGCGAAAACACCAGAGAGCCGAGGAATGCAACAAAAGCGGAATGCTGGGTATTCAATGGCGGCATACCGCGGGACGATCTCATCTGGCAAAGTTTCGCTTCACAACCAACTTTGCAAACTTTGTCTTTTAATGTCCGCGTCGATGGCGCTTTAGGGTACGTCCCGACAAAAGCGCTGCACTTTCTGAAAAACCTCAAGTCAATCAACATCCGATACGGCAATATTATAGACGTAACACCCTACGCTTTCGCCAACCTCACAAACTTAACAGACGTCACGATTTCCCAAAACCAAATAGAAAATCTCCACCAATACGCGTTCGCTCATCTCCCAAACATAACATTAATAAATCTGGAAGACAACATGATCTTGGAAATCGGCACAGAAGCGTTTTACGATTTGCCGAAGTTGCACAAACTTGTCTTCACCAAGAATAACATATCGTCGATCAGAGACGGAGCGTTCTTGCACACGTTCAATCTATTGGAATTGGACTTGAATAAAAACAACATAATCCATTTGAGACGTCGCACGTTTGATGGATTGGCCAACTTGCGGAAATTGGATCTACGGAGGAACCGCATTTACAATTTGACCGAATACACGTTCGCTGAACTGTGGAATTTGCAAGAGTTGTTGCTGGGAAAGAACGATCTGAAGTACATTTCGGAAAGGGCCTTCGACGGGCTGTCTCAGCTTCGCAAGCTGTCTCTAGATGATAATAAACTGAGTGCACTACCCGCCAGCCTCTTCGAAGGGGTGAGGGGCCTCAACTCCCTCGACCTACGTTCCAACGAACTACACGCATTAACTTTTGACAATATCAAACCCATATTGGACAACTTGAAGCCGCAGAACAGCAATTTGCTACTCGAAGGTAATAATGAATATTTAATACCGCATCACGTGAAGTTTCATAAACTTGTACGGTGAATATTTAATGAGTGGAAACGGAGACGTTATTATTAACTTTAACATACTTAGGAAGTTTGTTCTTTTATGATTCCTTCGGGGTTTCAAGATATGAAAGGTGCAGATGGAAGAAGAAGATGGTTAATCCACTTATTTTAGAACAAGTTCTAAATTTAATCTCGAGTTAACTTATAAGATAATCGTTTAGTGTGGATACGTTTTTTGACAAATATTATTAGTCGTATCTTCTTATTTCGAGTAGGTAACTATAGTCTTTTTCACCTAAGATGATCCGTATGACGTTTCGAGTTTGAAAGATTTAGAGATGTCACATAACTAAACCATAGCGATTTATCTATCGATTTTTTTCGAAGAGTTAGTAAAACCTACTTTTAGAGAAATATTTTGTATAGGTGTTATTTAACAAAAAACATGTTTTTTTTAATTACAAATATTATTGTAACAATTTTTTATTGATAATATTCAAATTTCATGGTTCGTGTTCAAAAAAACGATTCCTAAAAAGTACTGGTTCTGTTTCTTTAAATTAAAAACTTAAAGTTTATTTTCAATGCGTTTAAAAAGTCAATAATCAAAAAATATAGTTGATTTTTGTGATGTTTTTAATAACTAAGTATTCACTACAATCGATTAATGAACCGCGGAAATAATCGATTTTATCATACAAGAAATACCCCAGCACTAAATCTATTCCGTTTCACACATTGCGTACATTAAATAAAAAATATTTTTACATCGTATTTAATTTAAATATAATCAATAGACTCAGATTTTACTATATATTTCAAGACAAGTAGTTAATTTATTTATATTATATTGCTAATAAAATACAAATATTTTTTCAAAAATATTCTGCATATGTAGTATGCGTAAAATGGATAACCTTGAAGTGTCATACGGATCATCTTACGTGAAAAAGACTATAAGTAACTTAATTTATGTTAGTTTCTCTTTCTGAATAAAAGAAATACAACTCTCTAGATTGAAATTGGTTCATTCAGAAATGTTTTCGAATTAACTCCTCTCCAATTTTACTAAAGCGCTGATTTTAATTTCCGCAGAGAACAACTTCGTGTGCGACTGCCGGTTGAAATGGATGCACTCGCTTCGGAACGAGACTAAAAGCCAAAACACGAAGGCGTCGCTCGACGGCGTCACATGCAAAATGGATCCGCCCATAGTGAGCTCCGCGTACAACAAGATGCCCGACGTGATAGAAAATAAAATAGATTACAATCAAGACATCCTGCACGCGGGGATAACGATCGAGACGCTAAACGAGAAAATGAATGTGACTGAGAAGAAAATGATACCAGAAGAGCTGAATAAAGATCAGAGCTTAGCTAAGAAGCCGGTCAAGCGAGTCGTTTTGAAAATACCCCCAGAAAACCTACCATGCCCAAGAGATACCAAAACAACAACTGAGACACCACCTTTTATAGTGGATCCAGTGATTCCAATCCAAAACGAAATGAAAATATTTAGGTTTCACGAACCAAACACAGCGTACAGATTGTCGTACAAATCCACCATTGTGTTATGGATTGGGTGTTTTGCCTTTTTCTTTACTTAAATATTGTAAGTCAATTAGGTTATTCTAGTCACTAGTTTAAGCGAGATACAGACTAAGTCCTTTTAAGTCACAGTTATTGTATGGGATTAATTATTGAGCACTAAACATTTATTAAAACAATAATGTGAATGTATTCACCATTATACTTAAATGTTGTAAATTACCGGATTTAATGTTAAGTAGTTGTAAATGTAAATTGGATTTGTTTCATTCGATCTTGACTCATAGCATCGACCTTGTAATGTTTTTGATAGCGGCATGAGTATCAGCGTTTTTTTTTTTAATAATTTATCTATGTAAGATTATAATGTCCAATCAAAATTTTAGTTAGGTAAAACATAACTAATTACACAGGGTTTCCCAAAAAGAAGTGTCAAGCCGAAGCTCAGAGGTAGAGCATCACTAGAGCTACCCGAATCACCCCCATGTATGTTCCGCGATTTTTAAATTTTCGAGTTATGATTGTTTTAAATTTCTATGCTTAGTTACTTTTTTGGTTACTGTGACGCGAATAGTTAAGGTACATGCCTGATTTTTTTAAATTATTATTAGATTAATACTAGGCCTAGCTAATTCAGAAGTATTTATATCCATAACACTAAAAACATACTAAATCCTGAATTTTATAAAAAAAAAACATAACTCGAAAACTATCAAAAGTCGCGGTGATTGGGGTATCCCTAGTGATGCTATACCTCTGGTCTTAAGATCTAAACTATTTTTTGGGACATCCTGTATAAAGGCAACACCACATCGAACACTGTGGCATCATGTACGCGTAGTTGTGTAATAATTGTGTTATTTTGCAATAAAATCATCGTCTGATGTGTTGTAAACTTTACAAAAGAGAACTAAAAAGCTATATTGTTTAATTAAAAAGCTATAAAAGAATCCTAATATTAAAGTACACTCTCTTGGATGATCGCTACGTGTCGCTACCCAGCGATAAAACGAATTAAAGATTTTTTGCGATGCACGGAATCCTATGAACTTTTCTTTAGTGTAATGTATCTCTATCTACAGAAGCTTTTCAAAATTAGTTAAGTCAAATACGGAGGAACAGGCTTCAGACAAACAATAAGGACATAGTTTTTTCGTTTTGTTTAGTGTGTACCTATTTCATAATAACAAGGAAAAACATACTTTTATATTCACTTTGTAGATTCATAGCAGTTTTTGTACATTTATTGCAGAACATCTCGTTTCATATTTCGTCATAAATAAATCCATTTGTAGATAAACATAAAGAGTCATATAAACTTTTACAACTCCAGATAAAAATATTTTCATGCTTGAACATAATGCGTCATTAAATTTTTATACATCCATGTAAATATTGTTTCATTGCGAAAGAAAGATTTATTGTTATTTTGTCTTTTCTTTTGGCAAAACAACAAGAACTTCGCACATCGCAGAGAAATCCACTTTAATAATAATTTTAACATGTGTATTGTATTGAAAATTAATACACGCGCTTGTATACAGGCTGTTAGGTAAATGGGTATATGAGCCGACACTAGCCCATTTTAACTTATGCATATAAAGGGTATGGTGAAGTCTGAAAATTGATATCATCATTTTAATTTTTTATAGCTTAGCTAGCAAATTATAGTTTCGAAGTAAAGGTGGAAACCTTTTGCCCTTTTTAAGCGAAACCACCACTGAAACGAATAAGTTTGCAACATATTAAAAATGTAGAATTTCTGTCACAGCAACTAAGACAGTGGCACCAACTGGTAAGCGACGAAAAGGTATTCTTAACAAATGTGATACTCGAATAACTACGTAGTGTAGTATACGAGTAAAACAAAGTCGCTTTACTGTCTGTCTGTCCCTATGTATGCTTAAATCTTTAAAACTACGCAACGGATTTTGTTGCAGTTTTTTTATAGATAGAGTGATTCAAGTTTAAACCTTCCGGTTTACTCGCATATTAATTTAGCACCGTGCGAATTCGGAACGGGTCGGTGGTAAATTATAAACTACATTTCATTCATTCTTGTTTAATTTTGATAACAATTTTGAAATGGAATTATGTAACATTTTTTTTTACCTATCTCTCAATCCTACTTATTCTTAACTGATATTTTCCAAACCTGCTTTCGAATTCTTGAAACGCAAATGTGAATCAAAATAACACCACAGTATTCCCAATTACGCGATAAAGATAAGGAAATTGCGTCTCAGAACGCCGCCATTTTCCTATTTCAACAATGAACATGCTCATGCCGTTATCTATTTCGTATCGCAACGCCATCTGTGTTTATAATTGTGTATAACGTTGTATAAAGTATTTTGACAAGGTGATTTTGTATGGATAATGAAGATATGCTGTAATTTTTTTTACGACTTGTGTTTTATTTCTAACCCTTCTGTATACATTTATCAACTTATTAATCTAGAATTTTTCCTATAAATACTTATACAATTCGTTATTTAAGTTAAGTTAAGAAAATAATACAACACAGTGAGACATGAGTAGGTACTTATTTACATTAGGCAGAATTAAGATTTAATTCAAAATTAAAATCATTCTTTGTGGCGACCTCTATTAATTTCTACGAAAGATGTTTTAGTATTGTAAATTGCCGATAGATGGCTTTAGTATAATAAAATAAGAGAGATTCACTTTATCATCTAATCGAAATGGACATCGAATGATACAGTACATTGAAGTGTTGTGATCTTGGTTCAATTCCAGGCAGTTGAAAGCGATCCTACCAGTTTATTTATTATTTACTTTTAGTAAATAGGTATAGAGTTCTAAAAGTATAATCACCAATAATCTAATTTTGAAAGTCTTCCAAAATTTAGAAATACAATACAACAACTCCGTGCTCTTGAGTTCCTGGGTTCGATTCCCAGAGGTTACACATTTTTTTTAACGTTGTTGTGAGTTTTAGTCGAACTAGACTAGATTTCGTGCTTCGAAGAGAAGGATAAGCTGTCGGATTATGATATCCAAAGGAGCTCATAAAGTCTGCCGCTAGGGTTGCGACCTCAGTTATAGTTATTTATAATACAGGAGTAGTATACACTAAGGTCATGGACGATGGTAAGTAATTATGGTAAAAAAATTGACCCTTAACTGGGCTCAATTTGATATAAACTTGACTTTTCATCATCAGGTCATATAGTCTCTAATGCAGAAGCTAAACCTCTCTAATTTACAAAAGAAAAACGGATAATTTTGCCTACATTCCCCAAGTTGGAGTTCAGTTTTTAATGATCAATTACTACGACTCTTGACTTAAACACTACAATCGCATAAATCACCAAAAAATCTGTAACAAATCCTCAATCCAAGCCCATGCACCCTTGTCAAAAGCAAATTCGTCCGACTCTAATTCGCTTGCAAATTAAACGGGAGCAATAAATTTTATTCGAGTCCCTAAAGATTTGAAGGGATTTCTGAATTAACTTCACTAGACGGAACGGGTCGAGATAGTGAAATTATTCGGAATAAATGATGTGAAAATGTACGGATCGCTTAGTGCTCTGCTTTTGATAGGATAAGGGTTATTTGAGATGAAACGCTGTGAAATTTGCACTTTGATGCTTCTGGAAAATTAATCCTGAAAAAATCTAGACGCTTAACTGAGTCAATGCCTGAGGTATGAGAGGGGTGACATTGCATACTTATGACGTGACAAAGCATACAAAAAAAGAAATCTGAAGTCTTATGACTTTGATATCTCAAAAACACCCTCCTGTGCCGCTCCCTTACCTCAGATACTCAGTTAAGCGCTACTTATCCCCCTTATTACAAAAAGTTAGACTCAAATAAATTGCGGCTAATATTTTGTAATAAGGGGGTAGGTATGTGTTCATGAGATGTGTGAGTATCAGTAAAAGGAACACTTTTGTCTACAGTATAATCCAACTATGTATTTCCATTGAGCTAATCAAAAATCCACAGCTAACAAATAAAACAAAACCAGCCCGATTTAAAATCTAGTCACAAAAAAGTACTTTTAGCCAAGTAGGTTAATTCAAGCTAACCCAATTCTCAGTTCTCAGTTTTTACGTGATCCTAGCTATCAAAGCGAGCCAAATACGCGGTCACGTAACGTCGGGCTGACATCTGGCCAGACCGCTGGCTCGCAACTTTGGGCAGGGGTGTTACACTCTTAAAAGGGTTTAATACCTTTAGACCTTGTCCAGACGGGCGAGTTCGTCGCGAATCCTACGCGCGTAGAATCATACGTGCGTTGGCGATATACTAGCAGCCAATACATTGCGTCCACAAGACACGCGCAAGTTGAGATACTAGGGAGTTCTGTGTTGCGTCCAGTAAACGCGCGAACGCGAAGACGAGTGCACGCATCTAGGGATCATAGAGTGGCAAAATTTTGATACGGAATTATTTTGCACTACTGATTCCCTCCCCAAACGCTCGCGTTTCGAATCACTTCTCTGGACGCATCATACGCTCGTCCTCGCGCGAAGATATTCGCGGCGATTTCGCCCTCCTGGACAAGGCCTTACTTACAGTCTGACCGCCAGTTTCAGACCCAGCCCGGGTTCGATTCCCAGTGGGGGCGAGATTTTCTGCTCGGTTTGATTGGTAGTAGAGCTTGTTCTACGTCCACTAATCATCTTATTTAAGGCTGAGTTGCACCACCCTTCTTTATCCCTAGCTGTTACCATAACCGGTGTTTTTGTTTGGAGTTTGACAGACTAGATATTTATTACAGTTAAAGTAAGATGGCGCAACTCAGCCTAAGGGCTCCTGCACACGACGCCGCCGCCGCGCCGTCGCCGCGCCGCTACACTGTTTATACGCGCCGCGTGAACACCGCTGCCGCGCCGCCGCCGCGCCGCGGGCGAAATTATGCTTTGATGGCGCGGCGGCGGTTTTACTCGGTGCGTATGAACAGTGCAAAGGTGCGGTGACGGCGCGGCGGCGGCGCGGTAGCGGCGTCGTGTTCAGTAGCGCTAAGTCTGTCGCCATAACAGCAAGCATTGTTGTGTTCCAGCAGTTAGAGGTACCTAAGATAGACAGTTTTGTGGTTGAGGATTCTGGAAAAAGCTTGCTTCAAATAACCAATACTTATCTTTATTGCATTCCATTTTATACATAAGATGAGATGCGGCCAATAACTACCTTGTTGTGGATAAAAAAGGCATTTATTCTAAATATTTGGATCTGTAACAAACCCTACTTTGGAGCTAAGCGCGGCTTGGAACCGCTGCCTTTTTAGTAGCTCACTAGTTCACAATCCCAAGTTTAATACACTAACAATAGAGTATAATAAGTTAGCGAATTCGTTAACGCTTAATAGCTCTGGATACGTTAATGAGATGGGTTAGTCTGTCAGTTCCAGCAGTTCCAGTTTAACAAAGTGATTTCGATTGTCACTAATCTATTAGGAAATATTCTTTCTAACCAGGTCCTATTGTCAAATCCATTAATTCAGAAATAGTTATTGTGTTAATTTTCACAGACAACGTTTTACCATAAAAAAATAATCACACGTATTTTCAACTACGAGTAGGTAGCTGCAACTACGAGTTTGAATGTTATTTTAGAAATATTTCGTATTATTTTTCTTTACTACTCCACCCATTGGTAGTAGGGTGATTTTATATAGCCTTAAATCTTCCTCGATAAATAAAGAAGAAGGATTATCCATCACAAGAAGGATTTTTAAAATTGGACCAGTATTTCCCGAGATTAGCGCCTATATCTAAAACATAAGCCTCTTATAATCATCAATACAGAATGGCACCCTTGTTGATGTTTCACAGTGAACAGTATCTCTACAGACACTCATCTTCGGCTTTGTTGAAATTTCGAAGTAGTGTTGCCGAAAGACAATTGTTTGTAATATCGATAGAGCTTTCCTTGCAGTATTTGCATCTTACAGCACTTATTTTACTATAATTTATGACTTATTGAGTAGAAATAAACTAAATTATTGAGTAGAAATCCTTGGGCGAGGCCTTTGTCCAGCAGTGGACGTCTTTCGGCTGAAACGAACGAATGAAACTAAATTATAACCATAATAATTGCATTGAATGCATCCAAAGCCCAAATTTCTATTTGATGATAATCACTTTAACTAAAACGACGATTTATTTATTTATTTTAAATATTTATTGCACACATTGATTTAAATGGTTTCTCTACATTAATTTCTTTCTTTTCGGTTAAATATAGTTGTTAAAAACTACCGTAAATTATTACTGTTTTCTTACTCGACTGCGCCAAAAGGAGGGTTATTTAATCTCCTATAGCACATATGTAATATGATAAATTATAATAATAAATTCTTTATTTTCTCCACAATCTAAATCTAAAGGTTTACAATGTGAGGTATAGGTACATCTACAATCTACTTAGACTACGGAATGAACAACTGTAAAACTATCGATATCGACAGTCGATGTTCCCTCAACACTAGACAACAGTGACGCAATCTACCGTAAATACAGTGGTCACAAGCTTGATATCCGACGTGATGTTACTTCTACACTAAGTTTTCTATATCCTATATCAAGAAAAAACTATCGATATCGATGTTACCTCAACTCTAGACAACAGTGACGCAACCTCCTATAAGTTCAGTAGCCACTACGTAGCTTGACATCCGACGTGATGTTACTCCTACACTAAGTTTTCTATATCCTATATCAAGAAAAAACTATCGATATCGATGTTCCCGCAGCACTAGACAACAGTGACGCAATCTACCGTAAGTTCAGTGGTCACGTAGCTTGACATCTGCGACCGCGGTTCGCAACTTACCCGAGATGCTGTGAAGTTGGGAGCTGGTACCTTATGATTGTTCCCGAAATCGGGAATTAATTTTGAGATGCTCTGGAGATGATAAACGGCAGTTTACTGGGTAATTTACAAACAAATATATTATTTTCACAGTCAGAAATAGCGGGTTACAGGTAATGCATATTAGGATATTGACAGGTGAGGCACCTGTCTCAAACCCAGAGGTCCCGGGTTCGATTCCCGATGTTCTGTCCGGTATGGTAGGTGACAAAGCTTACTATAAACTGCTAAGTTTGTAGACAATTTTTCTGTGGTGAAGGATTCTCCTACCAGAAAATTACTTTCCATTAGGTGAGATACTCAATACCTACTCAATGTCAAAGTCAAAATTTCTTTATTTGTACAGACTATTATAATATAGTGCTTACAAATCGTCAAATAATTTGCTCTTAAGGAGCCTCTACATGTCTCATAATCTTTTTACCCTACCAGCGCTTCAATAATTTATTGCTTTCATAATTTATTTATTTATTTATTTATTTATATTAGGGAAACAAACAATTTTCATATACAGACAAATAATCACACAAAAAATAGGACAGAAATCAGCAAAGTTTCCACAGTTAAATAATGTTACAAAAGATGGTAAGGTAAGATACAATTATGGACTCTATCGGGCACTGCATTTTAGGAGATGCAAGCAAAGAACATCGCCATTGTTAGTTTGAATCAAATTGTGATTGTTTTAAATATTGAAATGCAACCTATGAAACGCCTCATTTATTTCTGTAATATTTGTTCTGTAATAATTACTACTAGGCAGTGACAATAATTCTCACTCTCCCTATAAATACAAAGTACTGAACTAGTAAACCCAACCTCGTGGTCACGTTACGAGGATTATCATGTGATTGGACTAAATATAGAAAAACACAAATCAAAAAACCTCAAAGTTTTATATTGGTTCTGTAATACGTACCACTCTACCGTCTCTGAGAAACAGACAATAGTAGGTATTTCTCCCTATAAATACAAAGTAACTGAACTAGTAAACCAAACCGGTGGTCACGTAACGAGGACTTCTTGACGGCGCGACCGCGACCAGTTCGCAACTCGCAGTCGACCGCAGCACGGAGCAGTTTCACTGAACTATTTAGGTACTGGGGATTCGGTCAAAAATAACTTTTGTCGGTCGTTACATTACCATTTTACAATGATAAGTAGGTAAGTAGAAGTAAGTAGAAGGTAAGGTAGGCCGATGGGGCAGCAAGGTTCTGGAATGGAGGCCACGTACCGGAAAACGCAGCGTGGGACGTCCACCCACAAGGTGGACCGACGACCTGATAAAGGTAGCAGGAAGGCGCTGGATGCAGGCCGCTACCAACCGTGCGATGTGAAAGTCATTGGAGGAGGCCTATGTTCAGCAGTGGACGTCCTGTGGCTGAAATGATGATGATGATGATGAAGTAGGTAAGTAGAGAGCTTTTAATTCAAAGTAAGAATTGTCCAAAGAAAAAATTTGGAGTTAGTGTTGACCAATTTGAAGTGTAGAATTTACTTGACTAGCGGCCGCCCGCGACTTCGTACGCGTGGATCTCGTTTTACCCCCTTAGGGGTGGAATTTCGTAAAATCCTTTCTTAGCGGATGCCTACGTCATAATCTACCTGCATGCCAAATTTTAGCCCGATCCGTCCAGTGGTTTGGGCTGTGCGTTGATAAATCACTATGTCAGTCAGTCACCTTTGAGTTACATATAATATTTAGATAGATTTTTCCATGTATTAATTTCAAACTAGGCAGTTACATTATAATCTGGACCTGCATCTCACTTAACATCAGGTGCGATTGGGATCAAATATCTGCCTAGGCAGATTTCTGCATGAAAAAATAAATTTATTACTATAGCGATCCAACAATGTAAGATATAAAAACAATTAGAAATAACCGTTTAAAGTGCATAAAACTAAGAATTATTACTTTTAGGGGAGCCAACAATAAATTACTTGTACAAAATTAATAAACATAATCTAAGCCAATTCAACGGCAACCTCTAGCAAATAAAGACGCTTCCCTTCCCGAAATAAAACAGATCTTATCTTTCAAAGATTCAAACACAAATCGCATTCTAAGAACTGTTCCACAGATAAAGGGGGCGATACACGTTCCAGTAAAACGGTACAGTAGTTGCATTCTTGTAACGACACGTGCAAGGAACTGGCACAATGTGGATACAACATCATCATCATCATTTCAGGACGTCCACTGCTGAACATAGGTCTCCCCCAATGATTTTCAGATTGGCCGGTTGGTAGCAGCCTGCATCCTTACCATAACGACAGGCGCAGTGTGAGACGCTAAGGTAGACATACGTCATAATAATATTATTATGAATACACCTACTTGCAATTTGCGACAAAACATTAAATCCAATGCTGTGCTTCTACTCGCAGATGGACCTACTAGGTGAACCGACGATCTGGTTAAGGTCGCGGGAAGAGCCTGGATGCGGGCAGCGCAGGACCGTTCATTAAGGAAAACCTTGGGGGAGGCCTTTGTCCAGCAGTGGACGTCATTTGGCTGAAACGACGACGACAACGACTCGCAGATACAAGCAAGCCAGTTACCGTAGACCATGTCACCGTAAAATTGTGAATTCCGCCAGATTATAATTTGACGTATTAACTTAATCCGCTGTTAGGTTGAGTTGCAGCACCTTAATTTAACCGTGACAATAACAATAACCGGTCCATTTTGTATGGAGTTTGACAGCTTTTTGAAGTTTGTCAAAGTTAAAGTAAGATGGTGCAACTTAGCCTTAGTTTACAATCTCACGCGTTATACGAATATTATAAACTGACGGAGTTCACAATTTGACGTTGACATAGGTACACATGCCAGTTAGTTGCATGTGCAAGGAACTGTTATAGATATACGAGTAGGTACAGTTACTGGCATCGTGTATTGTCACCTTTACTGGAGCCAGTAAAAGCCATAGACTACACTATCAGCAAGATCTAAACAAGTTAATGAGTCTCTCCTTAATCCAGTGGGGCCCGAATAAAATTTATGCGATCGGCTTAATGAGATTTAGGTATAGGGGACGCTGCAGTCCTGCTAGGGGTTTAAAGTTTACGAGCCTGTGGGTGAAGGGAAAAGGCATAGAGACAACTTGTTTTTGAATAAATAGTTATAATGCGTATTTTATAGAAGTTAAGTTTAAAAATATTTAATTTACAACATGACTAACATAAGATAGCTGTCTATTGTAAAACACAGCGAACTACTGCGACAGATGTGGTAGGTTCGATTCCAACCTCTTTGAAATAATAATGTTGTTCAAGTTCCTTATGTAGGTACTTAGATTAAGAGATAAATATAATTGTAAACAGGAGAACTTAGTAAATTAATATTCTATTATTCTATTCTAAAATATAGCTCCTATACAACTACCTAAGATCCTAGAGTATTTCACTTAACGTGCTGTCTGTCATCTGTGCAAACATAACACTACCTGTGGTAAATTTTTAAACAGATATTTTACATGTTTTCAAGAGCAAATGGATATTCTAAAATGCCTGGTACTTAGCTATTTTTAAAAGAGCCATAAGTTATTCAGGAAAGACACCAACGCAATATTTCTATGCTTGTTTCGTTTACTAACATGGGACCCGTTTTAGGTAAGAATTTCGTGCGTTAAAATGTTTCTAGTGGCGGAATGTTAATTACAGGGAAAACTTTATTTTTATATTACCCCGTAGGTTATAATGAACTACCTGTGGTTTGTAGGGCGAGTGATTTAACACTTTAAAAACAATTTGGGTTGTGTAACAATTTATTAATCCATTTCCGGTTTATTTCAACATTTATCTGATATCTGGTTAAGTTGTAATAGTTGCTGATTTGACTTGTGACAATTTATTATTACACATCCGGTATATTTAAACATTTTACTTGATATCCGGTTAAATAATAGTTGCTGATTTGACTTGTACTACCGGTGGGGATATAACCAGCCATTCGACTCGGAACGAGCCCAGTCGTACGAATACTACGAAAGTGCTAACAAGTGTTACTTTGAGTTGTGAATGTTCAATTTAATCAATATAAAAATTGAATTGAATAAATCGTTTTATTTCGAGAGAAAAAGGAGTGTGTGAGGTGCAGTTTTCAGTTGGATGTAAACTTTATCACTACACACAAAATTACTGCTTTTTACTTTAAAGGTAACGTTCTAGGGTTAACTAAAGAAATATTTTAACTTTCCTTTTTATCACGATTATTTTCATANAAATTATTGTCATAGTAAAAAGTTTGCTGAGTGATAAGTTTAAATAAAATACTGTTGGCTGCTACTAATTAATATAAATCAGTTATTTGTGTGCGTGTAATATCTTGGATACTGAAACTCCCCAATACAGGACAATGTTGTGTATTTACTTAGCCAGGGCTACACTCTGGAGTATAATACATAATATTCTATTGTAATGAAGACCAGCTATTGAGGGTACAGTTTTAAAAATATGCTTTTACGTATCACAAGGAACTGATTACTAAGATATTTATATTATTTATGAAAAGAATTCCTCAGCAGTAATTATTAAGAAATGCAACTTAAATAATTACATACATATCCCCCTGTATATTTTTTTTTAACCTTTTACAAATAACTGTCCTGCTTGGGTACTAAGACTTTGAAATAATTCATCCTTTGCGTCCTTAGCAACTGCCTAAGATTTAATGTATTTTTTTTTAATTATTTTACTTCAATTTTTAATAATTATTGATACGTTATAATGATTGTTATTGCACTAGGAATTATATTATACAAGCTTGCGAGAATTTATAGTGTTATTTGATTAAAAGTTTTCTCAAATAGATAATTTTAAAATCAAAACACTGCCAAGGAATTGATTGCAGTTTAATTTTATTTTTTTATTTTCCCCTGCATGTATTTTTATGTACCTATTGTATATTTTTTTTGCATTCTCAAACGATGCAGCAATTAATAAGTAGCACAGAGAGGAGAATATTAATAAGAACTTACAATAAAATTTAATATAGTATGCTAAGGTGGCCCAGATTTAAACCCCAATTAGTTATGGCAGGTGTAACGATAATTAGATCTTTCCATAAATAGTCCACATGTCTTAGGATTCATAAATAAATGTGATATATTTAAAAGAAATATATACATGCCTTTCTGTTTTAAGTTTCAGGACTAAATCAAATAATGGACGTCGATGATGATCATGGGCAGCAGCTGGCACCAAGTGATGAGGAGCAGTTGATTCCTCCAAAGAGTCCGCTGCTGCAGAGGATGACGACCACCGCGGACATACACGAACAACCGAGGGCAAGAACAAGTAGCCAGCGTAACAAGTTCGATAGAATCCTGACTACACCAAGACCCAGCCGTGAACGGAGCCGTGCGAGGGATTCTCCAAGCTCAAGTAGGCGCAGCAGTCGCAGTCGCCGAGATGGTGCAAGCAGTCGCAGAGAACCCTGCCAACGTAGTCACAGGCACAGCGAAAGACACACACGCACCCGTACACGTAGCCGTAGTGGGTTACGCAACGATAGACTACGAGAAGAATTGGAGTTGGAGAGGCAACGGTTGCGAGTGCTGGAAGGACAATTAAAGAGGGAGCGTGAGCGACAGGAAGATCGGGAGCGCGCACGATATAGAGAAATGGAGCTCTACATTCAGAGACCAAGTTCTACCAAGGAGGACGAGGAAATTCGGAGGTCCAGCGGACACCACTCTCGGAAACGGAGCCCTGGATGGGACAAGGAGACCGGGAGGTCCAGGTATGATTCAACATCTAATCTTTTTGTAGAATTACTAAAAGTAATGAATAAGCAAACTAGTGAACGTGATAGTTTTCCTGTTCTGAACAATGTTTTACCTGAATTTGACCCGTTGTGTAAAGAGCAACCAATTAGCACTTGGCTGAGCAAGGTTGATGAATGTGCTGAAATATATGGCTGGAATAACAGACAAACCATCCACTATGCTCTGCCAAAGCTTTCTGGTCATGCCAAACTATGGTACCAAGGACTACCATCTATTAAGCGTGACTGGCCAGAATGGAAAGCACTCTTAATGGATTCCTTCCCTGCTACCGAAAATTATGCAGAGTTATTAACAGAAATGTTAAACAAAAGAGCTCGTTTTGGCGAACCACTAGAATTGTATTACTTTTCTAAGATAAACCTATTGAACCGCTGCAAAATTTTCGGCAAGGAGGCAGTAGATTGTATATTACATGGTGTAGATGATAGAGGAGTAAGATTAGGAGCGCAAGCTGCTAATTTTGAGAAACCCGAACAAATTTTACAATTTTTTAAAACTCTTAAAGTACAAACTAGGGACACTGAAGTTAGGAAAGATAAGAGGGCCCCAATGACTAATGTAAACAACCCCAAAACACATAAAATGCGCGATTCTACAACTCTATCCAGACCCCGTCAATATCCCGATAGCGTTATATGTTTTAACTGTAGAGAGAAGGGCCACCCATGTTCTAAATGCCCAAAACCTATTGTCACGTGCTCATATTGCCATTTGATTGGCCATCTCATTTCCGATTGTCCTAAAAAGAATTCCAAGGTAGAGGTCTCTACAGACAAAAGTGTTTTAAGGATTTTGTTGAACGATAATTCTGATGAGAGTGAACCTATTCACGATACAGGCAACAAAATATTATGTGACCTGTTAGTGGATAACCCTGGTAACAAATATAAAATAGGAATCAAAATTAATAATAAACCAATATTTTGTCAAGTTGACCTAGGTAGTGAAGCCACTCTAATCCGGAAAACAGACGCGGAAAACTTGGACTTGCACTGGGTAGCAGTAGATGGACCATTGTTACGTGGTTTAGGAAATATACCTTATGTCCCATTAGGCAAAGTTCAAGTTCAGATTGATGTACAGGGCGTAAACGAAAAAGGAGTGGATGTATTTGTTGTTAGTGACCGTCTAATAAACACTCCAGTTCTATTGGGGCACACTTTCACAGAACGTCCAAATGTACGCATCATAAAAACTGAGACTGAGTTAAGATTTGAGAAAGTAGATCAATGCAATGATACAAAGATAACATTAAAGACTGAAAATTTAGTTACTATTGGGGAAAGGGAAATGAAAGCCATTCGAGTTAATTCTTTTGAAAAATTAAGCGGAAATGTGTACATTGGAGGTTCTGTAAGAGGGTGCGAGGGAAGTGAATATTTTCTTTTACCGGGTGAATATGAGATTCATTCAGGCACATGTCTATTATTAGTGCAAAATTTAGGAACAAAACCTATAACCTTTCAAAAGGGGTCCTTAATTGCTAGAGCTTTGTATTTAGATGCAATAAAGCATGTTCAGAACCTTAATATTACGACTGACCAAGGAACCGAGATTGAGAATTCGACTATCCAATGCGGAGATGACTTGTCATCTGACGAGAAACAAAGGTTGAATAAATTACTAGATAATTATTCAACCTGTTTCTCAACTGGGTTGCATGATTTGGGTTACACTACCGAAGCAGAAATGGTAATCAGGCTTAAAGATTCTGAACCAGTAGTGTACAGACCCTATAGAATGTCTTACTCAGAACGTCAACTTGTACAGGTTATGATTGACGACATGCTTAAGTTCGGTATAGTTCGGGAGTCAAAGTCCCCATATGCCAGCCCTATTGTTTTAGTTCACAAAAAAACCGGTGACAAAAGACTTTGTGTTGATTACCGCGCTCTCAACCATAAAACTAAGCGAGATCATTACCCCCTCCCTAGAATTGAGGACTTGCTTGATCGTTTGTCAGGACAGTCTATGTTCACAACCCTTGACCTTGCGTCAGGGTACCATCAAATACCCATAGCAGAGGAGTCTATTGAAAAGACTGCGTTTGTCACACCGGATGGCCAATACGAATACACTCGTATGCCATTCGGTTTGGCAAATGCACCTGCAGTATTTCAAAGGGTAATGCACAAGGTGTTAGCCAAGGTCAAATACGTCATCATCTACATGGATGACATATTAATACCATCAGCCTCATTTGATGAAGGATTGGCACGCCTTGAAGAAGTACTAAATGTATTGCAACAAAGCGGTCTCACTCTTAAGAAACAAAAATGCAATTTCTTCCAGAAAAGCATTGAGTTTCTGGGTTTCGAAATTAGTAAAGAGGGGATTAAGCCTGGTTTACAAAAAGTTCAAGCCGTTTCAAGGTTTTCCACTCCAACAAACCCTCATGACGTCCGTAGGTTCTTGGGTCTGTCAAGCTTTTTTAGAAGGTTTGTCAAGGGTTTTGCTTTAATAGCACGACCATTGACTTCCCTTTTGAAGAAGGATACTCCCTGGAGATGGACATCAGAGGAGGATGAAGCGTTTGAGACTTTAAAGAGCCACCTAATCAAAAGACCTGTGCTTGCTCTGTATGATCATGCGGCAGAAACACAATTGCATACAGATGCAAGTAAAGTAGGCTTAGCGGGCATTTTACTCCAGCGTTCTAGTTCATCAGAACCCTGGAGACCTGTGGCGTATTATAGCCGACAGACGACTATTGATGAACAGAAGTTACACTCATTTGAACTTGAAACCTTAGCCGTGGTCAGTTCACTAGCCAAGTTTAGAGTATATTTGCTCGGTATTAAGTTCACAATTGTTACAGACTGTAACGCTTTGCGATCAACATTCACTAAGCGAGATCTTGTTCCACGCATCTCTAGATGGTGGATACAATTTTTAGAATTTGATTGTGAGATAGAATACCGTGCTGGGGAGAAAATGGCTCACGTTGATGCACTCAGTAGGAACCCCATCGATGAAAAGGAAGTCGAAACGCATACATTAGATATCCTTGCAGTCAATATCGAAGACTGGGTTACAACCGTTCAATCGAGTGACGCAGAAATAAAAATAATTAAAGAAATCTTACAAGACCCTTCAACGGCCAAAGTTGCTAGCATTCACAAAGAGTACAAATTGAAAAATGGTAGAGTGTTCCGTATCATAAATGAAAACACAATTCGCTGGGTCGTACCCCGGGGTGTTAGATGGCAATTGCTCAAGGCCAATCATGATGACGTAGGACACTTTGGTTTTGAAAAAACTCTTGAAAGATTACGTTCATATTATTGGTTCCCAAAAATGCGCCGATTTACCAAAAAGTATGTAGCCGCTTGTTTGGAATGCGCTCATCACAAAATCCCATCTGGCGCAAAGGAAGGAGAATTACATCCTATCCCGAAAATTGATGTGCCATTCCATACAATACATGCTGACCATCTTGGACCATTTGTACGAAGTAAGCACAAGAATTCGTATTTATTAGTTATTGTGGATTCCTTTACCAAATATGTTAATCTGACTCCAGTCCGTAGCACCAAATCAAAAGAAAGCATTAAGGTATTCAAAAATTATTTTAGTTACTTTGGCACTCCCACTCGTTTGATTACTGATAGAGGCACCAGTTTTACAAGCAAGAAATTTAAATCTTTTGTAAGCAAATTGGGTATAAAGCATATTTTGAATTCTGTTGCTACTCCGCGCGCCAATGGGCAAGTCGAGCGATATAATCGCACAATTTTGTCTTCTCTGAGTACCATGTCTCACGGAAAGGGTCCCGAAAAGTGGGACGATTATGTTCAAGATGTCCAAGTGGGGATTAACTCTACAGTACACGAGGTAACTAAGAAATCCCCAACCGAGTTATTATTTGGTAGGAAAGTGAATAACCCTTCTCAAGGGGTCTTAAGCGACGTCATTGATGATGTCGGTGGTGGTTCAATAGATCAAAGCCTACATGAAGTTAGAGAACAAGCTAAGAGTATGATAGATAGGAATCAAGAACAAAATAAAGAAAGGTTTGATAGACGAAGAAAAAGGGTCACTAAATATAAGGAAGGAGATCTCGTCAGAGTAATTAGGGCCATAACTGGGGGTACGGGACAATCAAAAAAACTTGAACCAAAATGTCAAGGGCCATATAGGATTAAGAAAATATTACCTCACGACCGTTTTGTGATAGAAGACACTCCTCTGACAAAAAAAGGTAGACGCTACGAAAATACCGTATCAATAGACAAAATATTCCCATGGTTAAGTTTCGACAATGACCCTACTAGCAATACATCAAGTGATAATAGTTCTGTTGAAGAATAAGCATTGTTCAGATCAGCTTAAGCAATCACTCTTATAAAATACAGATACTTTGTTTTAAATATTATTCTAAGTTAGATGTTGATTCATTACCATTTTGGAGCATGATTACATTATTTAAATCATGATTGAACATGTAATACATGTCTTAAAAGTACCAGGAGGTACTTTTGAATGTTAAAGACGGATCTTTAACATCTTAGTTTATTTTATAATCTTTAAATTTATTTTTAAATGTATAAGATTCTAGCTGATTATGTTGAAACTTATGTATTCATTTGCATTAATGCATGTAATTTTAATTTTTAATATGTATTCTCATTCTTCAATCAAAATATTATCCTTGAGTAATTTTGTGTGAAAGAGTAACAAACTTTATGTTCACATACTTTCACATCTTTAATTTTAGTATAATTCTATTAAAATAATATTTTTTATATTATATTGTAATTACTATATTGAACTTGCTATAATTCTTAAACGAAGGGACTCGTTTAGAATCGGATGGCCGACTGTAACAATTTATTAATCCATTTCCGGTTTATTTCAACATTTATCTGATATCTGGTTAAGTTGTAATAGTTGCTGATTTGACTTGTGACAATTTATTATTACACATCCGGTATATTTAAACATTTTACTTGATATCCGGTTAAATAATAGTTGCTGATTTGACTTGTACTACCGGTGGGGATATAACCAGCCATTCGACTCGGAACGAGCCCAGTCGTACGAATACTACGAAAGTGCTAACAAGTGTTACTTTGAGTTGTGAATGTTCAATTTAATCAATATAAAAATTGAATTGAATAAATCGTTTTATTTCGAGAGAAAAAGGAGTGTGTGAGGTGCAGTTTTCAGTTGGATGTAAACTTTATCACTACACACAAAATTACTGCTTTTTACTTTAAAGGTAACGTTCTAGGGTTAACTAAAGAAATATTTTAACTTTCCTTTTTATCACGATTATTTTCATAAACTTAGCGGGAAGGCGCTGGATGCAGGCTGCCACCAGCCGGCCATTATGGAAATCATTGGGGGAGGCCTATGTTCAGCAGTGGACGTCTTATGGCTGAAATGATGATGATGATGATGATTCTTCTTCGCCTATGTAGACACTGACATTAGAATTTTAAGAGCCGATTCGTCTTATATGGCTCAATCAGAAACAGTTAACCCTTAAGTAGGCTCTGATGGCCAATTGGCCATAGAGCCCAAATAAATTTGAACTTTATGCTGTGAAGGTATGGTTGAAAACGAATGATTTTTTTATTAGGGTACTCTACGAAGCGTAGAATTTACCTTATTATTTCTTTCGGACTATATTGCAAACTAAACTGGGAATACCATATCAAAAATTATTTACAAGTCGCTACATTTTGAAGAAAAACCAGAACCGAGAAATACACATACTCTCTGTATATAAAGAGTCAATATCTAATTATCTAATTAGTAGACCGCGTTATTTTACAAGGTACCTATATGTACACGTAAAAGCAGTCGTACCTATAATATTATTTAACATTGTTCCATAAACTATACAAATAACGCTTTACAGAGCCAAAAATATCCATACAAACACATACAAGTCACGAATAACGGCACAAAACATACCCAACGACCACACAAAGCCGATATCACCGCCTTTTTCCGCAGTTTCAATATCCCAGCAGAGACATGGCACAGCCCAAATACAAAAGCCAGTTTAAATATAAAATTTTTGCATAAATGAAAGAGGAAAAGAATAAAGTATTGAGAAAATTAACAGTTTTAATGAAAAGAAGNATTCGACTATTCGCTATAACCACTATTCGCGGCAACTCTAGTATGTACATATTAGTCACGCCGACAAAAGGGTAGAATAAAATTTGGTAAAAAATTTTTTTTTGGAGTAGCTCCCCTACGTGTAAAGTGGGAATGAATTTTTTTTTCTACCCCATCGTGTGGGGTATCGTTAGATAGGTATTTTAAAATGGGTTAAGTCCTAAGGCACCCCCTTGGATTTTGGGGGTTACCTACCGATTCGACGATTGAAAGACAATCGCTCCCCCTCCCCCCGTATCATGACATAAACAGACGCAGACTTGCCATGCAGATGTGCGTCAGTGAGTACTAATCTGCGCGATTTGTGTCACCCCCTGATGGTTGGCACCCGGGGCGGACTGATTCCAGTCCCTAGCTCTTCGCATTATAAAATCATCGAAACGCTTAGTGCGAGCTGATGGAACGTCGACAATGTAGGGATGGTACGCTAGCCTGCGTCAGTGCGTCTGGTTCTGGAAAGGGGCTGGTGGAATTAGGCCGTATAATTCCTTCGCTCATTTTCCGAAGTGTAAACCTGTAGAAAACCGGTACTGATTCGAAACGAACCATTAATTATGTACCTAGTTAAAGCTACACTTTGTAACAAGTATCCTTCGATCAACAATACCTACCAACTAGATATCAAGTCAGCGTAAAAATTACGTTTCGGGAAATAGAGCGCACTTAAGGTCTAGTTGGCATTGTTGTATCTACTTGTTAAATTCTAATAACCTGTTCAATTGGTGCCGTAGTATCTGTCAGTTGGCCGAAGTCCTCATGCGTCGGAGCAACATAGCAACACTTGTTCGTTGTAAACTTGTCTACCTTGATCTGGGTGCCTTTAACTTTTGGAGCCAAGACCTCTTCCAATTCCGTGACTCCCACGCCTTTGTTTTGCCTATCTTTCTCCACATTTCTCTTATGATGCATTCGACCAAGCCTGCGTTGGTTTCTGTTCATTTTGTACAGGATAAGTCATTTTACGAGTAATTTAATTCACATCCTCCAACAATAAATCCTTTGCGTGATAAAAATGTGCGTTGAGAAATACAAAAATTACATTATTGACTTTGACAGCACCTGACAGCACTAAGTTTTTTCGTTCACCTACTTTAAGTTTTCAATTTAACTCGTCTTCACTAAACGAAGAAGGTTTGAATATGGCTTGAACACTGCTTGAACAATGGCTTAGACGATATTTTCACAAAAAAAAAACCAAAATCTTGATAAAGAAAATAACATCCATTTAGCTAATAGGTGTAAGCATTTTTAAATCGAGGGTGGCCACCAGGATGGTATTGGTAGAAGAAGATAGTATTAGTAGTTGATTCATGATGAGCTGTGTGTGATAGTACATATTATTTATTCTGTGGTGATACCAACAAAAATCGTGGAGACAGGAATACATCGTCCGATGGCAGACCCAAAACTACACACGGATGCTTAGTCAAAAATTATGGGTAAATAGCAGTAGGTGATAGGTAACAGTCACACGTTACATTTTATCAGCCAATGATTCGATGATCTGACTCCCACCAAGGTAAATGNGTAAAAGTTTCTGGAGTGAACTCCTTCATGCACATGCATCGTCTTCGTTTCAGCCAAATAACGTCCACTGCTGGACAAAGCCCTCAAGGATTTCTTTAACAATCGGTCCTGCGCTGCCCGCAGCCAGGCTCTTCCCGCGACCTTCACTAAATCGTCGGTCCACTTAGTGGAGGGCCTGCTCACGCTACGTCTTCCAGCACGCGGTCGCCACTCGAGAACTATTCTGCCCCAATGGCCATCGTCTCTGCGAGCTATGTGCCTCGCCAACTGCCACTTGATTTTAGCATTTCTGCGAGCTATGTCAGTCACTTTGGTTCTCCTGCGGATCTCTTCATTTCTCATTCGATCACGCAGGGAAACTCGGAGCATAGCCCGCTCCATCGCCCGGACATGCATATGGCTTGCTAATTTTATGTAGACTTTATGTATTGGTTATGCAGGTAATTCCCCGTCACTGTAGGTAGGTACAATATCAATAACTTACTATCAAAGAAGAAGATAATGGTTTTTATCGCCTTTGATACCTAACCATAGCCAGTGCATTGTATGATAAAACTACTTTCCTAAGTAGGTAGGTACATAGTTCTTAAGTTGTTTTATACCTATTCGTTAATAATATTACCTTACTTGTTAATTTAATGTTTAATATTTTTTATGTTTAAAGACATAAGAAACGTATAGATTTTAAGCACTTACTTACAAGCAACTGTAATAAACTTTAAATAAAAAAAATAACGGGTAATTTACGCGCGTATTCACAAACATTACTATGAGGTCTCACAATGCGCGTGGAAGCACAGGGTGACACACGAACCAATCACAAGAGCTTTACTCAACGCTGTGCGTTCGATTTTCTGCTTCACTTAAGCAAGCATCGTTTGTGAATACCTACAGGCGAGTTTTTCAGTGTGATAGGGTGCGTTCCCATCCCACGGGAATTCCATTTGCGGGATCCAGTAATGCAGGGTCCCGCACTGTGTGAACAACATACATACACTTATTGTAAGTGTCTTTGAAATTCGAATAACAAATTCGGATGGATCGGTTTTTTGCGGGACACTGCCAACGGGATGTTCGTGTGAACGTTAATATGTATACCTACTGTTAAACGGGATCCTGCAAAAAACAGTTCGGAACAAGCCCTACTTTTGCGAGATTTCTTTAAAAAACTGGGCAGTATTTTTATGCATTTGCAAACTATTTATCTGTCTGTGGAGGAACACTATAATGTGGTCGCGATCCTCATCAGTGAGGGACCGAGGAACAAAGATTAAGAAACTATTTATGTATGATACCTATCTATTTAAGTGTTCTTTGAATCAATTTATTTGTTATTCTTTATCACATCAAACGATATAATATAAACAATTTAGCAGGCAAGTACTTTCCAAGTCTTATCATTGTTACTGTAAAAGCTTAAAACTGGACATTGGAAACTGATAGGTTACCTTGTTTATGCTAAACAAAGCAGGTAGCTATTTGACTGCACCTTATGTTAATGCAGTCTAGGATGGTACCTACATACCCTGTAAGTGTGGCTATTCACTCTAGCCTTGAAGAGGGCCGGATTATAGACTTCGGGAAAGGCAGTGAATTCCAATCCCTAGATATTCGTATTATAAAAGAGTTAGCGAAGCGCTTAGTGCGAGCTGGTGGATTGTCGACAATGCAAGGATGGTACGCTAACTTGCGTCTGGTTCCCCGGTGATGGAAGATAGGTCCCTACTTACCTACATCCTCATTCCTCAATCAATATTCCTTGTTTTCCGCCAATCCACTACGTCAACCTCCTGGTGATGAGTCTTATGCCCGTTTTCACCATCAATCCCTAATAAGTGACCCTATGGTAACACAACATGAATTTTGTTTTCAAATTGGTCACGTAAAAATTAGGGATTGATAGTGAAAACGGGCTCTTGGACAGGCTACTAATTTTACTGCACAAAAAATATTCTGTAATTTTCAGTAACCATTCTATTGGCCATTTATTGTGTCCAGTTAACGGACTGGCGTATTGACTGTGACATAAATAAACCGCGATAAGATAAACATAATATTATGAATACAGTATTTTGTGGTATTACTTAGGTACATTTGTGCGCACCGGTTCGTACGTAACAGTCGCTGGATTAAAAAGAACTGTCTGATATCATCTTCAATACAATGTGGTTACGGAATTCGTGAAATTTCTTTCATTGCAAATGTAAGTTTTACACTAACGTATTTTTATGTAGCCTCCAAATAAACTGCACTTAACTTCTATACTTAATTGATTAATTGAAGCGTAATAAGGGTGTTATGTGTGAACGAACTGTTTATGTAAGATTTTTACTATCGAGGCGTTTTGAAGCGTCTCAATGTGAAAGACAGTGAGTGAAAATGAAACTGAAAATAGCATTGTAAGTACATAAAGCTGCGAAAAAAGTCGATCTATTGCAAAAATAAGAACGTAAGTTACAAAGGTTGAATTCCCAACAGAGGTTCGTTCGTTCGTTTCAGCCGAAAGACGTCCACTGCTGGACAAAGGCCTCCCCCAAGGATTTCCACAAAGACCGGTCCAGCGCCGACAGAGGTATTAGGATTTAATTAAAATGGAATCATTTTTTCATTAATTTACTTAGTAATTATGGAAAACTGAAGGGAAATTGTGGATTAAATGGTAATGGTTGAAAAAATATATAGGTACTTCACATAAATTAATCTCCGAATGTCAGCACATCACATCAGAACGCGGCATCTACTTATTTTGGTTATTATTTTGTGTTTGTAAAATTTAGCTGGACGTCTTGTGTGAAATCAAATTACTGAGACATAAAAATTAACCCCTTAATAATACCTACTAATTAGATTAATAATAACTTTAACTGTAAAATATTACTTTAGACATGGATAAGAATTGAATTGGCATTTCATTAATTAAACTATTTTGTTTTAGAAAACTGACAAAAAATTTGAAAAATAACGATAATGGATCAAATCACGGAAAACCTTTTTACATCGTTGCGCTCAAAAAAAGGCGAAGACGAAAAATATCAAGAAGTGCTCGGATATTTAGACAGCGGAGCCAATCCTAATGCCGCTGATCCTAAAAGGAAGGATAACAGACCCTTGCACATAGCTGTGCAAAATAGTGATTTAAAAATCGTTGAACTCTTACTTGACAGGGGAGCTGACGTGACTTTGAAAAATGGTCTCAACAAAAATCCATATGAGTTAGCCAAAGAATTACCTGAAGTCGATGAAGAAGTAGTAGCCTTACTACAAACAAAATTCGAGCAATTAAACATCGTCTCGAATGAGGTTTCAAGAAAAATACAAGGCAAAAATCTTACCCACAGTAAAAAACAACTAGGTTTCGACAAAAGAGAGGGCACTGCTAGTGGTATCGACGGTCAGTTTTACGAATCAAAAATATTAAGTCTTATATTATTTCGATGCCTTACTGATGCGACAATCGAGTACTTTTATTTGGGTACGAATGTTAATAATGTAGGAGCACTGGACGACGTCTGCTTGAGATATAAAATATATGGAGAATCAAAGGACAGAATGCTCTTCATGCAAGCTAAACATAGACAACAAGACGGCATAGCAAAAAAAGTAATAACTTTAGACGATTTAAAAAACTCCAATGATTATAAACTTATTAAATATTTTGAGAGTTATGAACAAATCAAAAACAAATTCAAAAGTAACAAAGATGACATCATGTTTAAAGGCTCCTACGAGGACGTAGATTGTGATTTAGTACTATTCACGCCTTCTGACAATATTATTGAAAGAAAACATAAAGCAGAAAAGTCTATTTTGCGGGGCCACCGATTCGAAAAACTTTTTTGCTCTCGTAAAAATATAACATTTAGCAACATAAACGAAAATTTTCAAATAAGCGATGTAGCATTACTTCAAAATTTAATTATATTTAAGCACGTTGAAGCTTTAGGTGAATTATTAAAGGCTTTTATCTTGACTGACAATGAGAAAACATATTCTAATATGTTGAAAAAGGACAATATTGTACAAAAGTACCATGCCCTTTTGACACAAAAAGTAATCCATGTAGGTGCTATTGAACAAAAAAGACTTGAAGAAGAAAAACCTAATTTAACAAATTTTGGTGAAGGAACTTCATCACAGTGTTCAATTCAGGAAAGTAAGGTTTCAGGAAAAGAAATTGAAAATGCAAATCTAGTGGAAAAGTATCGAAAAGGAACTTTCCATAGCAGCTTCTTTGACGACGAAGATGCATGTATGCGTTTATTGAAGGAAAAACTTTTTGAAAATAATAACCCATCCCAAAAAGGTGAAGAAAAAAAAAGAAAAGATAAAAGTAATAAAAAAAGTTACGAAACTGAAATTGAGGAATTTAAATCACAAAAAAAATCTTTCAAACTTCCTGTATCGTTCGGGAAGCTCGATCTGACACTCAAGAAAGGTAAGGAAAAAACCAGAATAGAATATTTAGTACGGATAATTATTATGTTGGCAAATATTGCCAAATATGAAAAAAAGAATGTAATCAGAATTGATAAAAATATTTTCTGTAAAAACAAAGAAGAAGAAAAACACGTTAATAAAGGATTTATTGATAACGAAGGTGGAATTGCAGGTTTAGTTGGTAATTTGCTGACTTTTGACAGTGAGACAGAAACTTATCAATTTCGCGATGTAGAAAAAGAAAATAAAACACATGAATTGGAAGCAAATAGCAAACTTTTTTTAGAAGAACTAAATAAGCAATGTATAGAGCAATGTGAAGAGAAATGTAAAGATCAATGTAGAGAGCAATGTGAACATAAATTAGATATATATCAATTTAGATTTGACATTGCCATAGACGATTTTCCAAAACTTGCTTTTTATTGTACCGAAGATGAAAAACTTAATGCAAATGATTTTTTAAATAAATATTGGGTTTTAAGTAATCAATGCTCACAGAGTGAAATAGAAGATATTTTAAAAATGGAAATTGAGTCTCAATTGCGCCAAGAAAACAAAAATAGATTACTCCGAATACAATCACATGCAATTTTCTTAAAATTTCACGACCAAGTTCAAAAATGGTGGATGAAAAATAAAAAAGCTAATTATAAAACCAAGATGTGTCAATACTATGAAAAAGCTAAAAAAGAAATAGTCGATAGCCCTATATTGTCTGTTTTAAATTTTATTATGTTAAACACTATCAAAAAGAATCTCATCAAATTTAAAAGCGATATTATTGATACATTAGGGTTACAAATATTTATGAATGATCCAAACACAAACGTGTTTAACATCACTGCATCTGAAGGTTTTCTAACCATTATCAAATTAGCTCAGTTTTTCGAAAACCACGGAAACACTGCATTTTTGGACTTTGAATATATTCTGGAAAATAAGTACTTTGAAGATATGAAATCGGAACTACAAACAACTGAGCTCGACACTTTCATATTCCTTCAAAAAAATCAGCAGAACACCCAAAACCTCTGCCAAGTTATTGATATTATCAAGGAAAATAAGAAAAAGAAATGTTTTCTAGTGACTGAGAAAAAGATTGTTGATATCGTCAAATCTCAATGCAATGTCGAATGCCTTTGGCAAGACGACAATATTTGCGACCTAAATTCTGTTTGTGATAGTGATGATGTGTCCAGAAATTGGACTCTTATTTTTCAAGAAGAAGAAGTCAAATTTAATAGAGTTATAGAAGAAGAATCAAAGAGATTAATTAATTCTCATATACTTTTAAAGCTAATAAAAGGAGAAAAAATTGAAATAGGTAATCCCTTAAGAAATATAAGATACAATGAGGTTAAACAATATTGCATTCCTCGTAATTTAGATCGCGGTGAAGAATTTATGATTAAATCTTTTAAAGATATCAACGAAAATGTGGTACTCATCGTGGCAGAACCTGGTATGGGTAAATCGGTATTGATGAATCAACTCGCTATTCAGACAAAAGAAATAGAACATGAATTTTCTGATCTCAGTTCGTGGATACTATATGTAAATTTAAATGACTACTCGTCTGACTTTTCAAAGTGGCCTAACGATAACATATCGAAAGAAGAAGCAATAATATTTATTTGTAAGACTGCTATAAATAAACTTTGCACAAACAATGGAGCACAGAATATCGGCACAAGAACAAATGTAAAAAATGCGTTCAAAATCAAAGTAGATGCAGGAAATAATGTGCAAGTAGAAAGTTTCATTAAGGACCCACTAGTCTCGTTTGAGTTGCGCCTGTTCATAGATTATTTAAACAGGGGAAATCTAATAATAATATTTGATGGGTTTGATGAAATCTGTCCACAATATGAAAAGAAAGTAATATGTTTACTAAAACATCTTACAAGAACCTTTCATCTTCCAAATTGTGAGTTGTTACAACCTTTTGACCCTATGATCAATGTAAAAAACGTTATATCTTTGCTACAAAAAACAGAACCATCAACTTCGAAGACCTGTAATTGTCCTCGAATGGGTGCAAACCAGAACCGCATATGGGTAACTACACGATCATACAATCATATCAAAAACGTTCTAGAAACGGAACTGGGAAGAACTGGATTTACACTTCGCCCACTTTCGAAGCATGAACAGACCATTTATTTAATGAAATATTTTGAAATAAACTTTCGAATATCGGACTTGAAAAAAGAAGAAATAGACAACCTGAACATATTTTTCGATTATATGCTTAATAGACTATCTGATGAAAGCCGACACATAACAATGGTAAGTGTCCCTCTGTACACTGTTTATGTCACACTAGTGAGCTTTTTTCATAACAAATTTTCTGCAAATCCATTAAATTGTTACTCAGATGATGAAGTGAGAGATTTGAAAAACAAATGTGCTGATGTTTACTCAGTTTTGACTAGTTATGGACCAGTTTTCGAACGACAGTCAAATGTTCGTGCACTTACTGCAGTATCAGAAAATCCACTTCACCTATACATGGCAGCGGAATATTTTTACAGCCAAATCAAATACAATGAGAGTGAAGACCAAGGTTATGATAAATGGGATATTAACACAGAATCGTTCAATTTATTCAAGAAATTCCTTGACATCAAATTCAAAAAAATACTTTTTGAACAAAAAAACTATGTGGATCCAAGCAAGTCTGCTATCGAAGAGACTTTGGAAAATCAAAGGTTAAAATTTGTTGAAGACCATAAAAAAATGGCCCTGTGCGCAATATTTAACCGTATCGATTTGGAACGGTTACTACCTGAAAGTGTTTTAGACGATATAGACAAAATCATGATACAAATAAACACTGGGAAGGAAAAAACTGGTATCATAGTAACAGTCATCGATAAAGTTCCAAGATTTGTACATTTAGTCTTCGCAGAATATTTTGCTATCGAGTATATATGTGATTTGCTAATTAAAAGTTCGAATTCTGAAATGAGTAGTCCTGATATAGAAGAACTATGGCGTTTTATAATGAATATAGTGCTATACAAAGCTAGTGGGGGCGTCCGTACATTCTTTGATCATAAACTAAGAAACGATTCTGGGTTTATGAATGTAATAAATTCAGAGCAAAATAAAAAGATAGTTTTCAAATCATTCATACAACAGGGGAAAGAAAACCAAGTAGTTCCGGAAGGTTTTAATTTTTCAATTCTCAAAACATCCCTGAATATTGCTGTTGAGGAAAATTTATTAGATATACAAAATTATATATTTGAGTGTATTCAATGTAATTTGAATGAAGAGAATATTGATGAATTTACGGAACTCACATCCAATAGTTTACTTCTTTTCAGTGCCCTTGGATCTAACAACGATGACCTAATACATAGATTTAAACAATGCTTAAATAATATATGGGATGATGATGATGATAAGTTTATTGACTTTGTTTTTCCGGCGTTTGTAAGGAAAATACTTCCATTCAAAATAAATCTACAAAATTTCATGTCTATATGGAGAATGGTGCAACGCATGATACCCCAACTTGCTGACGTGGACATCGATACAGCAACTGAAATTACGCCAAATATGAGAAGTGCTCTCTCAGATTACATAAAATTATTTTGGGAACTGGTTACTGATACATATAACTCTCAAAGTTGAAAAANTTAGAATTGAAAAAGTAAATAAAAGCTTGTAAAAAGAGAGATTTTATGCCGAAAACAAATATTATGAACAAATTAATTAATGCTTAATTATTATACTGTGGCCCCGGGCAAGTAGTGATCAAATTTCTATAGAAAATTTTATTGTGATTTTGATTGATGACTAATGAAGAATAATATTATGTAGATATAAGAATAGATGTTCTCATTTCTTTTTCCTAGACATACAAATATACTATCCGATTGAGCTAACTACCCACCTCGCTGAAATGTAACTCTCCTTCGCACTCACCCACACTCCTCCCCGCGTTCGGCCCCTCGCGTCTGTACCATCAACGTGACGTCACGGCTGCCGGGTGCGCAGTTAACTTAATTGGGTTGTAATTTTTTACCGATAATTTAAGGGTAAACTTAGTGTTTGTTATTAACCCTTATCGCTAAGTTCTCGGAATAAAACGATTAATTATTATTATTATAATAACAAATTATTTAATAAGAACAAACTAATTATATTGATGTTATATTGATTTATATCGATAATAGCCTACCTACATTATTATATTAAAAAATATTATTATGATAGTTGTTTTTTATTTATTTCTTCGAATTACCTAAGTACCTACCTACTCCAGCCGTTTTTGAATTTTCTATGAAATTACAAATAAAATATTTAAATGAAAACAAAACAATCATTTTAAGAAAGTAGGTATTTAATAATAATTCTGTAAAGAAAAATTTTACGTTGCATACCTACATTACAACCGGACTTCTTTGATGACTTCGATCTATCACATCGTATACAGGGTTAAATTTTAACTTCATACTTAATCGAAACTTTTCATTAATGTTTGCATTTTGCATAAATTCGCAGTCTTACCAATTACTAAGCATTCGCATACTTTGCAACTGCACGCTTTCTTTTATTCTTCTTAATATTCATATTTCATAAACTTAGTTGGTTTTGGTAAAGAAGTTTCTGGTTTACTATGAGATATTGAGTCGGTAAAATCTTTGTGCGGCACTTTCATAATTTGTGCACTTATCTGAGCTGCATTCGTATCAAATTCTTTGTTGCGAGTTGCGAGAGCTAGTGACGGTCGCGCTTAGAGAATGTGAGAGTTGTAATGTTTCAGTGGACAATGTGGACATATTGTTACTATTATATTTGTAAGTTTTTTTAGACATGAGGACATTTGAAGACGCTCTTTGAGGCAGTTTTTTTCAGGCGGTTTAAAGGAATATTTGCTTGGGCTTCTTACTCCCCTGGAAATATTTTTGAGCTTTGTCTTGTTTACATGTACAGCATACTTTGTTTCATAGTGCAAAGCGTTCGAAGGAATCGCGGTTGGTGCACGAACAAATTGATATTTTTCTTCTCTACCTATGTGGTGGTTTACGCAAAGTTTTTAAATTTGAAAGTTTCATGCTGGCTTATATTGACAGTCGTGCTTCTTCGGGGGTTCTTTAGGTTTCGGCTCTTTTTTCGGTCGCGTGATAGATGCTGCACTGCGACAACATAAATTTGCTGACTTCACGACCTGCAAAATAGTTTGAATTTAGAACCCACCTAAGGGTGAGGCCCCATTAGTGACATGGGATTAGTGACTAAAGGATCATTGGCTTAATAGATAGAGGTAGGTACTAAAGCCCGGTCCGTGAGCACGTAGAATTTTGTCCAATGACCCCTTAGCTACCCATCCTTATCGCTCGCGCGTAATTATATTGCTGTCGCGACTGTGCGACTGGCACCCGCAGTGATTGTGCGAGCGCAATAGCAACATAATTACGCGCGAGCGATAAGGATAGATAGCTTGGGGTCATTGGACAAAATTCTACGTGCTCACGGACCAGAGTATACATGATGTCAGGCTGGATTATGCGCACTGGTTTCGAAAACGGGGTCAGTTGACGGCCGCTCCCGCGTCGCTACCGCCCCGCTGCCCGTAAAATTCGAGGTAAGGCGTCCACTATCATTTATGCAGTGCTAGTAAATCATACAAAGCAAACTGCGCGGTGCGTTTAGCGCGAGCCAATGGACGCGTACCTACCTCTAGGCAACATGGTATTCAGGTAGGGGCTTCCATTGCAATTGGCACTCTTGATCATAATAACAAAGTTCAAATTCGTTACTTCGTTATTCGGCACTTTGACTCAGGCGCATTTACCGATAATTTTCGGAAGTGAGACAAAGCGAAACGAAATGAAAGGGGTGCTTCTTACACTATCCATTTCGGTCATATTCGCGTGTAGGATGCATAGACACTATTATTACGAGATTCATGGGTTGTAAGTATAAAAATAAAACACCAGTTTAAATAATATTTTTTAATTCGTCGAATAAAATTAATCTTTTTGTAAATAAAATCATTTTTTAAAGTAGACAAAGATACAAATCGCTAATTCGTGAGTGACGTTAGATACAAAATAACAAATTGATTTGTCAAAACTATTTACAACGGAAAAAAAACTTCGAAAACACAATAAAATTATTGGCACGAAAAACGATGAGTCAAAAAATCCGTAGTAGGTATCACACAAGCGATTAAAGTTTTTTGAAGACTAACGCGCTTAGTCTCTTTGCATTTGATATCTAAAACAAGTTTGTTTTAACCCAAATAGCGTTAACACTTTACAAGTTTTTAAGACTTTTGCAAAGGTCAATAAATTGCAGTCTGAGATTCGAAATAAAAATATTTGACAACAAAGAGCGGACGTGTTACAATCTGGGGACAGAATATTCAGCTTACCAGGCATTTTTCATTATTTAGCTTTTAAAAACTCCATAGGCGATTAATGCCATTGGCTAAATTAGTCACAAAGCGTTCTGTGAAGAAAAATAAATACCCCGCGTATAGTAATAATAAAAAGTTGCAAAGTATCTACCGGTGAAAAAAATACAAGATTCCCCAATATCAATGAAACTGTCAACTTACATAAAATCGCTAATGTGATGTGACCTTAAAAATTAATAGTTCGATTTTTTTACATCGATTGAAGGTACGATTGTTCGATATGTTTCGCTTACGTTTATTATAAAGAGTATTATTATTATTCTATAATACAAACATTATGTACATTTCGTTATATTTAACTGGCTTAACTAATGAAGGCACCAGAGTGAGGTCGGTGGAGGTTTAACACCTGTAATGGAAACAAAGTTTTATACATTAGGCAAGAATTAGAAAGAAAGATATCTCTGTATATTAAAATGACGTTATTACGTTTAATTAATTAAGGTCAAACTAAAAAAAACGTTTAATAATTCACATGTTGCTCAAAATTCTAAAATAGATTTCTTACTATTTACATGTTAATAAAATTATAATTATTTCGTGTTATAATGTGGATTGCTTGTGCAGAATGCATTTTTTTGCACTATATTTTAGATTATTTCGTGTTATAATGTGGATTGCTTGTGCAGAATGCATTTTTTGCACTATATTTTAGTTTAGTTTATGTGTATTAATTATTAAATTAATATGAACTTACACAAATTCGCACAACTATCGTCTCTAAACGTCTGTGCTCCAAACTATCGCATTTGTACCCAACGCACAAGATGGACAATTCTGAAAAAACATAACGAATTATAAACACAATTTTTATTTTATTTTAAACCTATAAATTGGCAAAATTTTTTGTAGAGTAGATCCACTCATTCCACTCCCATTCGTCCTGTGAATGTCGTAAAAGGTATATTTTCACTGAAGAATAAACTTGTCATTTTGACATATTTCCCATACAGTGGGTCTAGACAAAGTGCAAATTATAATCGCAAACCAGTCGAAAAGTGGTCGAAAAGCCCCTTTTTTGTATGGAGTTTTGACGGATTCGATTTTCGATTCGATCAAAAAGTGCGTTTTGTCTAAGGGGGCTGAAACTGTTAATATGCCAAACCTATTCTTCAGTTAAAAGTTATCCGACGATTGAAATATTAGCCCTAAATCCAATAAATAAATCTTTATTTTACTCACACAAAAATCGTACATAGTTACATAGTGAATGTATAAGATAAGTTTGATGTTCATTCTTTGTGAGTCAGATGCCTATGCTAAGTATTTAGTATACCTGTGGGTCTAGACAAAGTGCACATTATAATCGCAAACCAGTCGAAAAGTGGTCGAAAGGCCTTTTTTTGTATGGAGTTTTGACAGATTCGATTTTGCATTTTGTCTAGGGGGCTGTATTACCGAGCCCCGATTACGGTAACTTTTAACGTTTCCAATCCAGACGCGCTTCATCGATTCTGCGATAAGATTGGTCAAAACAGCTGACGTACGCTGTTGAACGACCAATCGTATCGCAGAATCGATGAAGCGCGTCTGGATTGGAAACGTTAAAAGTTACCGTAATCGGGGCTCAGGTCAACTAAACCCAACCGGTCTAGCCAGGGTGGGGAGTGTAGGTCAAATCCTCCATTTGCCTCTGGTAAATAAGTATGGGGCATGCTCCTACAGATAAGTCTAAATGACCTGTGATGCTGATAATAAATTTAAAAAGAAACATGGATACTTACAACAATACTTTCAATGGCATTCGCTAACTGCTCCTCCATAATCTTAACATCTCCATGGTCTAACACTTCCTGTAACAATTGAAACAATATTTAATCAAAAGGCAAATTAATATTATAGACCAGCGGTTCCCAAACTTATTTAGTCTACTGCCCACTTTGAGAATAAATTATTTTTTAGCGCCCCCCATTTTTGTAGTCAAGAGTCGAGCTCAGTCGGTGTCTAAGAGTCCTCCTAGTAGATGACGTCTCCCAAGCCTCTACACAACGTCCCGATTTTTTTTCTGGGTCTCTTACCGCCCTCCTTTAAGCCTGCAGCGCCCACAAGGGGGCGTTATCGCCCACTTTGGGAAAGACTGTTATAGACAGACCAACCTACGCTATCAGATTCTGCTCTGATTATGTGAATATGAATTATTGAATGCAGTTCTCTTTCTTTCCAAAAATAAAGGAATGTTTTCTTTAAGTAAAATTTTCTATCTACAGTATTAAGAGTACTTTCCCTCCAGGTGGCATTACAAAATTCCACCCTGTATTATGTATAACTCAAAGGTGACTGACTGACATAGTGATCTGTCAGCGCACAGCCCAAACCACTGGATGGATCGGGCTGAAATTTGGCATGCAGGTAGATGTTATGACGTAGGCATCCGCTAAGAAAGGATTTTACGAAACTCCACCCCTAAGAGGGTAAAACGGGATCCACGTGTACGAAGTCGCGTGCCGCTGCTAGTTGAAGTATAATTTGAAAACACAAAATGAAAGAAATAAATCTCTCTGTGCATGTCTCTCCCCAACTTTTCTGGCCAGCATAGGAAGTGTCCACAGCTGGACAAAGGCCTCCCCCAAGGATTTCCACAAAGACCGGTCCTGCGCCGATCGCATCCAGGCACCACCCGCGACCTTCACCAGATCGTCGGTCCACCTAGCTAGTGGGAGGCCTGTCCACGCTACGTCTTCCGGTTATCCTTCGGCTCGGCTATCCTTGGGGGAGGCTTGTCCAGCAGTGGACATCTTTCGGCTGAAAAGAAGGTAGGAAGTGTATTGTGCCGGTATGCACAATACTTAATCTCTTCATATCTTATCTTGATCACGTTCACAGTGTCAGCACATTTATCACATATAAAGCCTGGTCCAGGCTTTAGTGTAGATGCTGTGACGTCATTTATCTATAATCTACATCTTATAAATACTCGTGTAGTACAGACTAAGTAATATCTGAGACTAATACCAACTCTTGTCTCATTTATACGGTCTCCTATAGATGACCCACGCTGAACTGTCCCACCAAATTCAATGACAGGGGGGCGCTACCATCGTTCAACTATATGGTTTCCAACATGGCAAAAATGGGACCCAGCGATCCGATACTGACGGTGGCGCCCCGCTGTCAATGTCGGCCGTTTGGTGTAGTGGTTCAGAGCGGACTACTATGCCGAGAGGTCCCGGGTTCGATTCCCGGCCGGGCAGAAATTGAAATGATGAATTTTAATTTCTGTGACGGGTCTGGGTGTTACTATGTATAATATTATGTATGTATTTAAAAAAAAAAAGTATATAAGTAGTATATCCGTTAAGCTTAGCACCCATAACACAAGCATTAAGTTGCTTACTTTGGGGCTAGCTGGCGCTGTGTGAAATTGTCCAAAGATTTATTATTATTATTATTAATGTCATGGATAGGACAGTTCAGTATTTTGGAACTGTAACATGGCACATGTATCATACCTCCTGACAGAGCTTGACGCTGTCCGCTATCTCGGGCACGGCGGCGCACAGTCGCGCGGCGGCGCACGCGCAACTCACGCTGGCCAGCCGCGCGGCGCCGTGCACCACGCCCGCGTTGCCCGCCAACCGCAGCGACGCGAACTCGCCGCCCGACCCCGGCACGGCGTACGTCATCGACGACACGGCGCGCTGCCACTCCTAAAACACGCGGCGGTATAAACCCGAACCCCTTTCGAAATAGACAACTGACTACAAAAAATATAGCACCTATCCTACTAATATTATGTCTGTTACCCTTTCACGCTACATATATTTGCTACCCTTCAAATGGCACTCGCCGCCGGCGCCCGGCACGGCGTACGTCATCGAGGACACGGCGCGCTGCCACTCCTAAAACACGCGGCGGTATAAACCCGAACCCGTTTCGAAATAGACAACTATCTGAGCAACTTACACTACAAAAAATGGCTGTGACATACGGACGGACAGACAGACAGACATGACGAATCTATGAGGGTTCCGTTTTTTGCCATTTGGCTACGGAACCCTAAAAAGGGTTGGACCTATCCTACTTATTTATGTTTGTTACCCTTTCACGCTACATATATTTGCTACCCTTCAAATGGCACTCGCCGCCCGCGCCCGGCACGGCGTACATCATCGAGGACACGGCGCGCTGCCACTCCTAAAACACGCGGCGNGAAAATGGCCTGAATTGCTTCGAGAAAAGGATGGTACGGCCGTGCCGCTTTTTTGCTCGACTTGGTGGGGGCACTGCCGTGCCCCCAGATTATTTGCTACCCTTCAAATGGCACTCGCCGCCCGCGATAGTAGGATATAACATTGGATAGTTTTTTATTAAATATTGACGCATTTGAATGGTCAAACTGAAATATAACAGATTATGTAAGAATTAAGAATATGGTTTTTAGCAGAACCATGTTTATCCCATCGGTTAAGCTTTCAACCACCATTTAGTAAGAATAAAGAACTCAGTTAACAAGGTATTTTAGTCACAACCTATTACGGTATTAGAATATAATCCACAACCATACTGACCTCTGTATCAGTCTTAGCGTCGGCGTCTCCTATGGACCTAACGAGCTCCTTCGAAATCGCCATTAAGAGGTAATTAGTAATTTTTGCTTTGGTTTCAACAGTCACTTCTCTGCCGCAGACGGGGGTTATATCTTTGCAGAGTCTCGTCAAATCGTCGTCTGCGGTGTTGTGTATTCTATCGAACAGGTCTTCGATCAGTTGGCTGACTAGCTGGCTCCTCATGGACGGGCAGGAGCACCTGGCGTCCGAGGTGATGTAGCTCATGCTGTGATGCATCCTCCCATAGTCGGTCTTCTTTGGCACGGCCGTATATATTGAATAGCCCTCGTCTATGTATTCCGTTCTCTCCGGCTGGAGTTCCACCCGCGACGCGTGGTACGACTGCCGCATAGTCTCACTCCTCAATTCCTCTAACTCCTCAGTTTTGATCGACAACTCGTGGCTGAGAGTTTTGATTTTTTCGTCACATTTCCTTTTGCACTGTTGCAATGCTTTCTGAGTTATAGCTAGCTGCTTTTCCAGAGATTCCACCTGAGAACACACGTCTTCTTAGAAGGTCTTCCATGACACCGCTGCATGCATATTTACATTCTTCCGCCATGCATTAAACCGCCCAACAATAAAACCGTCGATTCCGAGTGGGTAAAGCCAACATGCGTCGCGTTAACGAAACAAACAAAGCGCAAACATTCAAAGCGTTAGCAAAAAGAGTGCCAAAGCATCAACACATTCAAATTTTAACTACTGTTTAATCCGAAACCATAGTTATCTAGTCATATTTTTAATCTTCTAATTAACCTTAACTAAACAAGGCATGAAAGTTCGTCAACAATTAGACGAAACATTAATCGGTCTGTTTTTATGTTCATTTTGGCAGTTATAAATACTTAGGTATTATTTAAAATCATGCGGAGCTTAAAATTCATTCAGTTAGATGTCATTGTACAATTAAGTGGTTATTAAGATTTTTATCAAATACAAAATCTTTGATATCTCAATGTTAAGACCTTTCGCTAGTTAATTAGAAGATTGTAATTCAGTTAAAATAATCCCAAGTCGATAAATGGTGAGTTAGTATCAATCGTTACCTCTTCCTTCAGTTCGCTGTTGGTGACTTCCAAATCTTGGTTGTTCTTGCACGTCCTGTGCAGCTCCTTGCGAATGCACTCCAGGTCACCCATGAAGCTGACCTCTGTCTTCTTGGAAGACTCCCTGTGGCTCTTCAGATCGTCGTCCAGCTGTTTGTTGATCTTCCGCAGTTGCTCCATTTCTTTCTGAAAAGTTATTTTAAGGGACGTCTAAAGTAGGGATTTTCCAATACTAAAAAAGAACACTGCCAACAATTTGATTTTTACGCAAACACGCGTGAATAAAGTGGGACCCTAATCCAAGATAATGATTTTACTCAAACTTCCATCGCAAACTGAAAACTAAGAAAGTAAGTGTTAGTACCTAGTTGAAAAAAACGAGCTTCACAGTAGTTTTTCTTGTATTCACACATTTTATTTCTTTAGAAAAGTTGGGAACTTTAATGGTCGCCGACATTTAACACAAAACTCCCGTGTTCACATCACCAACGTAGTCGTTTCGCTGTTATGGTTCCGTGGCGAAGGTGTGCTATAGGAGTCTCCTATTGTTATAGTAAAACCTACCTATTTCGCACTAATGATATCCAAATAAGGTCCCAAGGTGGACCGACGACATCATAAAGGTAGCAGGTAAACGCTGGACGCAGGCCGCTACCAAACGATTAACATGAAAAGCATTGGGGGAGGCCTATGTTCAGCAGTGGGCGTCCTATGGCTGAAATGATGATGAAATGATGATATCCAAATAACGTACCTTAAACTTCGCATCCAAAGCCTTGAAAGCCGTTTCAGATTTCTTGGCCTCGGCATCTGCTTTGCCGAACATTGCCACCAAGTTGGTGTTTTGAGCCTTCAGCGCCTTTGCATCTCTTTCGGCCTTCTCCAAGGCTATGCGGAGACCTGATTCGGATTCTTCTACTTCTCGCAGTTTCTTCTTCATTGGTTCAAAACACTTCTTGTAAGTGTCCCGCTCGGATTCCAGTTTCTTTACCTGAAATGAACACAATTTTAAGGACAATCTTTTGGGTGACTGTGAAAAGCTATGTATTATATTTGAACATAAATACATAAAAGTTGTTGGATTATAGATCTATAATTTGTATTACCTACTTTCAACATGTGATCGCAAACAGCATCCTGTGTAGAAAATAATGAAACGCTGAATATCCAAGTGATGCTGGCATTGCCACTTCAGCTTGCTGATGGGGCAACAAGGTTCTGGAGGCCATGTATGTACCGGAAAACGCAGCGTGAGACGTCCACACACAAGGTGGAGGTGTTGGTGGAGGGTAGCAGGAAGGCGCAATCCGTTACCAACCGGGCGATGTGGAAATCATTGCCTATGTTCAGCAGTGGATATCCTGTGGCTGAAATGATGAACCAAGAGATACTTTACCTTCCCTTTCAACTGATTCTCCGTGGTCTGCGACTCCTCGATCTTCTTCTTGTAGCCGCCTTCCATCTCCGCCCACATGTCGTCGGCCTGAGTGAGCATCTCCAGGTAAGCTTGTTCGCGACGCTCCAGCTCTGCCACTCTGCTCTTCAACTCCTGCTCGGTGATCAGTAGCGCTCGTATCTTGCTCCCCATAGTCGGGTCTACTGGCAACTGAAATTTGCATTTTAAAAACTCCTAAAAAAACTCATAAAACTCGTTTATTTCTGATAGGCTTTAAAAAGCACTTTTACACGTCCCAGTATTAACCCTACCACTGCTTCAGGACAATAAATGGGCCAGTGCTGAGAAGAAGCAGCGCAAGAAACTCAGTCACTATTATCAGTTAAAAAGTTAAAGAGGAAGGTTGAGATTGAGAGCACAAGAGCGCGCGGCACAATGAGGGAGGTCCACTCTCGCCGCAATGAGAGAGGAATGGCGACGGATTGTAAAGCTTGCCACCAAATCAGGTGTGACGACCACGACCACTCTGGCGAGAGTGTAGCGACGAAGAAGAAAGATTATTATGTTTGAATTATGTTTGCTGACGAGGAAATAGCTTTAGATAGTAGGGAAGTACCTAATTACGCTCCTTAACTGAGCCCTAGCATGTATAACTAGATCCATGAATTTTTATAATGCTTTTATAGGCATAACGTTAACACCAGACATAAAGATAGGCTATACTTACCACCTTCCAGAATCAAAATGCTCAATTGTAGTCCTTTTTATATGGCAGTAAAAAAATTTAATAAAATACCGAAACACATAAAATTGGAAAATAAATTAAGACCGTTTAGTAATAAACTTCAAGATTATTGATCTCAAACTGCTTCTACTCACTTGATGAATTTTTTAGTTATCGCGACAATAATAATAATCTTTGAGATAGATCTGGATGACGTCTGTAATTTACAAATCACATATACCTCTGGGAGGTAGCAATGTAACATTTTTTTAACATCTGTCTTTAATATTTGTACATTGTGAAGTGAATAAAATGAACTTTCATGTGAACGTACGTAGTTATTATGAGTAATAAATTAATTAATTTTATCCATAACCTAATGACTAGTCTAATACTCTTAAATATCTATACATTAATGTACACCACACAAGAATGATACAACAAGAAATACCAAACCGAAACGGCACAATTAAAGCGGTCTCATCGGTAACAAGCAATCTCTTCCAGGATACCCTGGGAGTGATGATAGTTGAACAATAGGTATAATAAAAGGTATAAGTTGCACTAATTTCATTAACCAAACTAAATATTCTAGTAAAATGTTTAAAACTACACATCGATCACATTCTTAGATGTTCTGAGACACTCAAGTAATGACACGATAAAAATAATTGGAGTGCTTTCTACACTGCGTTCAGTGCACATTACCGTTTGTTTGTTGTGTTCTAAGAGCAATTGCTTATATTGACGCGATCTTAAATCACTAATAAATGTGCCGTCTTGTGATTCAATCATAAAGCACGATGATTGTGTTTCATCAGAGGAATCGTCATGGTCAAGGAGTTTAACGTTGTTACATGTTACGTACATTCTTAGTACGGTCTGATAATGATGTGTTACAGTGAAACATTTCATAGTAATTTTACTTATTTTGTTTCATTTATCTTCGGGAATTTGAATGCGATTTCGAATTATTTGCAATAAATCGACTTTCCATTGAATTACTTTGTATCAGAACAATAGATTTGACTCCATCTATTAAATTCAAACAGCATCAAATTATTCGATTATTATTCTGCATTACACCTCATTGTCAGTCACAGTAGAAATTGTAAGGACAAAAATTCGACTTGTTAAATTACTTATTGATAAATAGTACCTATACTATCGTTACATTCCCTCTAATATGGTCGAGTGAAGCGATGGCTGGTTCACTCGTCATGTCTGTGAACAGGCGCTGCTTTCGAGGACTGGTCAATCCAAGTTATTCAAATTTATGTATGCGAGTCATTTCTACTAGTACCTTAATAATTTATGTAAGTNGTACTACTATTTCTATTTATTTATATTAGCCGGCAGACAGTGGTGACTGAGTTTGTTGCGGCGCTTCTTCTCAGCACTTGCCAAATGTTGGTCTCGAAGCGCTGGTAGGGTAAAAAGATTATGAGACATGTAGAGGCTCCTTAAGAGCATATGACGATTTGTAAGAACTATTTATTAGTCTAAACAAATAAAGAAATTTTGACTTTGACTTTGACTATACTGGGGCAAGTGCAGCCTGTATTACAAAACTTGTGAACACGTAAAAATCACAGGTAGTAGAACAAACCTTCTCGTTTTCTTTCTCCTTGAGGATTTCGTTTTCAATCTTGTTGATCTGCTCATTCAACTTTCCTTTCTTTACTTCAGCGCCGCAGACCGCCGCCGCCATTTGCCGTTTGGTCGTTTCCAATTCTTCTTCTAATTCCTTTATCCTTTTCTCAAGTCCCTTCCTGATTTTTCCTGTTTGATCCTCAATTTGCTTCTTCTCTGTTATGAGTCTGTAATCAACGTCAAATATTATTAGATAATTAAAGAATCTTTCAAACTCATGAACACTTTATAATTAAGTAAACTGTGTACTGACATCATAACAAATAAAACAAACACTACCCAACTAAGTTTGTGTTTATTTATGTTCTAAAATATGGCCTTACTTTTAGTACACATTGTTTATAAAATATTTAATTGCACTATTTTAATTACACTTAACAATATTTGTTACACAATTAAAATATTGACAACAGGTCAAAAACATGGTCTGATATTGTTATAAAAACGATTTTTTTTCTTAAATAGCAAAATTTTCTTTGCAAACAGATGCAACGTCAATCATAATAATTAGTACATTTTTTGGACTTCGTGCAGTTCTGGTCCGCGTGATAGGAAAAACAAGACGTATAAATTGCAATAGATCCGCAAGCTTGCCGAAATCCGCGGCACAGGAAAAAGACACTTACACCTACGTAGTACTTAGTGCTCAGGACACATCGTGGCTTTTCTTTATTGCCATTCATTTATAACACGAATTTTGCGATGTGGACGTTTTGCAGTGATTACAAAGCGTTGTGAGTTGTTTTTTCGCTCAATGATCGCAGAGACGATGGCCGTTGGGGCAGAAAAGTTCTCGAGTGGTGACCACGGGCTGGAAGATGTAGCGTGGGCAGGCCTCCTACTAGGTGGACCGACGATCTGGTAAAGGTTGCGGGAAGAACCTGGATGCGGGCAGTGCAGGACCGTTTATTAAGGAAAACCTTGGGGGAGGCCTTTGTCCAGCAGAGGACGTTATTTGGCTGAAACGACGATCGTTTTCGGTCTTGATTCTGAGCATAACCTACTTATTTAGAACGTTTTGTTTGCTTTTGATCGTAACAGGCGAACAGCTGGGAAACTTACTTGAGAACTTGTTGTTCCAACTCCTTGGTCGTAGGCGCGGACGACGTGTTGATGTCATTCCACGCCACCAGCGCGCCGCAGCCGGCTGGCTTCTGCGACTCCTGCTTCACTTGCGCTATGAACGCCTTCGTGTCTTGGCTGTACGGCGCCATTCGACTGATCAGCGCTCGCTGCAATCACGAATAATGGAAAATTCAGGGCCTGTCTCCTTTAGATGCTGATAGAGTCCCTAAAGCTCAGTAGGAACTTATACCATAATTTTGCGATACACAGATCTTGGATGGACATAATATTATCTGGCGGGAAAAGTCACCGGTAATAAGCAACCTGTATCAGGAACAAGACAAAATGGCCTTTACTAACGGATTGAATAAACAAAATGTATGGTGAAGCTTGTAGCGCAAGCTCAATTTGTCGCCAGTTTCCGAAACTTTTCGAGAGACGAATCAATATTTAATCAAAAATCGCCCAATTCAAAGGCAATAAATAATTTCTACCTCATCATTTAATTTAATTGTTACACGGTTTAAATATAAGTCGTTACGTATTAAATGTACCTAATGTATTAGCACAACTAGATGCAACCAAAAACTCGGCTTTTTAAAATTACCTGTCCCCCTGGCGACATGTTAACTCCAATAGCTTGCACGACATTCCATGCTATTAACGCTGGAACTGCCTTTTCTAACTTGTCTAGCCTCGTTAATAGTTCATTCTGGAATAATAGGTTAAGTAAACGTTAAACTTTCTTCTTATTTCAAATAACTACCAAACAGCGTCAACAGTTTATACGATTACCTCTCTAGCTTTCAAAGTACATTCCCTTTTACTAAGCTCGCCCATAAGCCTTTCGGCTTGCGCCCTTGAACACTCACGCTGCTCTGTCATGTCTCTTAGTTGTGCTGAGCAAAGCTCATAGTCCATTTCAAGCCTAAAAATAAAATAAAAATTAAGAAAGTTGTCATTTATGGTGATACCCACTTGCAGAAAACTTTCTGAAAAAACTTACTGCTGCCAATGCAATCGGGTGTCATTTTCGATTTCTTCTAATTCACAACAATCTTCCTCTAATCTTTCATACTTCTCTTGAAGTTCTGAAAGCTGTGATTCAAGCTCCTGTAAAAACAATCACATTATTTTTACAAGTTATCGTGAGAAACTTTGTGGAGTTTTTACCAGCAATGCGTTTTGGATGGTCAATATTAATTACCTGTATTCGATTCTCAAGCTGGAATTCTTTCTGTAACCTTTGCGCTAACTTAGCCTCCTTCACGTCCTGTGCTGCTTCATATATCGAGATTTTTCCCTCCAAAAACTTAAGCCTCCTCTCGTAATACTGCTTGTGTTTCTTCCCCAACTTCACGCACCTGCACTCCAGGCCATCTCCATCGTCCTTAGTACTTAATGTTCTATTTCTAACACCTTGCCTTTCAAGTTTCTCTCTTATACTATTCAGTCGCTGTATTTCGGTGTTCAATTCACCGCTGCATTCGAAACTTTCGTTGACGTCTGTCTGTGTACTTTTACACTCTGTCTCAACTTCTTCGAAAATTCCACTCTCTTGTAGAACGTTATTCGGTTTCCTCTCTTCGCTACAAAGACTTTCTAGGGATTCGCACTTATAACCTTTTTGTTGGTACGGTGTTACTGTTGCGATTGCCTTTTGAATTTTGTGCGATGGAATGTCAGGTTCAGATTTCAATTTCAGATCACATATTCTTCTAGGTTTAGCCTGTAACACAATTTAATTTATGTATTTGGTTCACAGGGAGTTCAATTTATAATTCAAACAAACATTTCAGATGTCTCCTATGACCATTTTGTCAAATGTGACATTGTCAACTTTTTAATACAATTATTATATTTAAGATCAAAAAATAGGTTGATTATGATTAAAATAAAAGAACACTAAACTTACTTGATAGCACTCATCTTCACTGACGGAACTACTTAAAGCTTGGAAATTGTAGAGCAACATCTGGACTTGCTCTAAGCACGTCCTATCCTCCGCGGATGCTGCGTTCAGTATCATTTGCTCGAGGTGGTCTTTCACTGGGTTGCTCTTCAACGAATCACTGGCTTCTGAGTTCCTGTCCAATATGTCGGCCAGGACTTGTGCCTTCGCAAAGTCTTCTTTGAAGTCATCGTGGGGGGTGCCTAAATGCCTTCGGGGGTTGCAAGGGCTGCTAGGTGTATGTGGGGACTTGTAGCCGGAGTCCATCCGCTTGAGCTCAGGCGACGCGGAGTCCTTGATACGGGACCCCGGAGACACGCAGCCTGAGTCAGAATCTGTCAGGTTGTCCCTAGTTCCCTGCAAAGAAAATTAAGCTTGAACCAGGAAAAAATAAAAGTAACGTGTTAGGTAACGTGAGTGAATTGTTGAAATCCTTATCAATTTTCGGATTAACGCCAGACAAATGTCCACCTCTGTAAGTTTTTAAATAAAAGAAACCATAATGTTAGAGTTAAGTTAGAACTGTATTTATTTTTGGATAGTACTTGTAATTTAATTTAATTTATCATGCTGTGTATACTAATTTTGGCTTACGGTCCAGTATGTAATTAACACTTTTTCTTTACGATGAAGCCCAGACTGTAAACTGTTTGTATACCTATTACAAATAAATAAATAAATAATGACTCTAACATTCACTGGGAAAATGTCTAATTGTAAAAAGAATATGAGTTGTGATTATGATAAAATATCTGACTTGACTGGGTGATTTGCGCATTATAACTCTAATGTTTTCACATATCGCCCACGCAGAGCGATTAGTGTAGGAGGCAACACTGTAAAAGGCAGTTCGAAAAATATAGTCGGCGTTAGATTTATTTACGAAGGCGAACGACAATTATTTTGTTCAATAATATTTATAACAGAATCACAGCCTACATTTAACTTAGGTACTGTAAAAAATATAGACCGTTTGCAGGCACAATGAATGTGGAAGGAAACATTAACGTTTAACCTGTGGTTAAAGCAAGTAAATTACTAATGTAAATAAAATCCACACGTATTTTTGCAAGAAACCTACATTTTGATTTGCAAGAAACTACCCTCCTAAGATTTTGATATACCATAGTAACTAGTTGGTATTAGGTACTAATATGCTAATACTACAGAAGTGCCTGATTCTCCTTCAAGGCTTCCAAGTTTGCAATGCACACTACTAGCATCATTAAGAATCATTTGATCCATTTGCGTCGATAGCTCCCGTCTTTTCCTAAGCACCGTATGGCCTCCTCATACCAGCAATGGCTGACCTCAGGAAATGAGCATAGAAGGCTGGCTCCGTACAAGGCGCGCGCGTCACGAGGTGAGCGAACGCCGTGTCCGCGTCCGCGAAACTATGGTGTGGTTACACATTGGGATATTATTCCAACAATATGTGAACCATACCCCAAGAATCTGTAGGTAGCCCACAGATCAATTTTTCTTGCGCTCTCATAAAATGATAATTATTTGGGATAAAAAGAGGAGAGGACCGAAAATGAATTGAAATGATCTGTAATCTGTCTATAGATAGGTATGCGATAAACTCAAGAACAGTTTTTCATCCAATATAAGTGATAGAATGATTCACGAGTAAGGTTTAGTGTAAATTGGTTGAAATATGAAGATAATAATAAATAAATGCTATATTTCTATAAATAGATATAAGTACCTATCAAGTAAGTCGGTAATTCTGTGACAAACTCCATTTCACATGGGCGTAGCCGCGGGCAAAAGCTAGTACCTTATTAAATACACAGTCGCGATTGACACAATCGACTGATTCGACACGAGCCCGTTTCAAGGAGACGTCTGCCTACGTAACGATGACCTAAGTAGGTAAATGTTTGGCTTACCGGTTAGGACTTGAGATGATAAAACATAGTTTTTGGATTGACCAAACATCTTAGGGAGCTTACACATTGTGACTTTTTGCAGCGATACAAACGCGCGTTTGACATCGCGATCGTCATCTCGATCAACATGTAAAATCAATTCATACGCGTATTTGAATCGATGGAAACATGCTGCATCGCAGTTGCATCGAAGGGTGCTTCGCTAGTTATACACACACAAACGCAGTAGAGGACAAAAGAAGTTTGTATCGTCGCGTTTGATCGCGCTAACATCGATGCTGTATCGCGACTGTATCACGATTATACTAACGTGTATGTATGTGTAAAGGTAGATATTCTGCATTGTTAGATGAGAGACGACGCCCAGTTTCCACTTAAACGAAGCAAGAGAGGAGATATGTTTCAAAAACCAATATTTATATTTGTTTGTTGCTTTACGTTTTTAATTCACTGTAAATTGATTGTAAATAACTGTAAATAAATAAATAAATGAATTAAATCTTTATTATTTCCTCATCTCTCCGCTCAACTTTGGTTCGGAAATGTGATCCATGGTTATTCAAATAAATTAAACTCCTTTCCTCTCCACGTTGGTGGAAACCGGCCCTAAGACTACATAATTAGAAGTTCATTATGCACTCTAAGGTGCAATTTGTGCATAATTTTAGTATAATATGGCTCGTGAGCTGACGTCATGTCGTGATGTGGTCTTAAGTCATTTCCATACATTCTGATTGTGACTGGTCGATTCCATCAACGAATATCCCAACTAATATTATAAATGCGAAAGTAACTGTCTGTCTGTCTGTCTGTCTGTCTGTCTGTTACGCTTTCCCGCTTAAACCTCGCAACCGATTTAGATGAAATTTGGCATAGAGATAGTTTGAGTCCCGGGAAAGAACATAGGATAGTTTTTATCCCGGTTTTTGAAACAGGGACGCGCGCGATAAAGTTTTTCTGTGACAGACAAAATTCCACGCGGGCGAAGCCGCGGGCGGAAAGCTAGTAAATAATAATAAAGTAATACTTGAATATTATACCTACATCAACATCTAGTCTTAATCTAAGAAAAGCTTGTATTACCAGACGACAGATTATTGTTAAATTTTAAATTTAATATGACATTATAACATTGATAGCTAGTCTATCTAGGCTCTACGGGCTACGTTTTTTCGAATACCGCTGTAGCGACGAATGCTGTTGCGATTTTTTTGCACTGCCTGTTTTTCGAAATAGCGTCGTTCGCAACTACATCATTCGAGTTCATAATGTTTCGAACCTATGAGGCAGTGGAAAAAAATTCGCTACAGCGTTCGTCGCTACAGCTCCATTCGGACCTACATAGGGGACCCAGGCTCTACATGGTATACCATAGTTCCTCTGTCTGCTTTACGCTTTAATATTTTAAACTATACCACAGCTTTTACTGTAGTACTAATCAATAATTATACTCATTCAAGAGGAAGGTTTATAAGGTTTACCTACATAGTATCAGTTTTTGCACCCGAGCGACGCCAGGCCAGTCGCTAGTATAACGTTATAAACATTAGGGAATAATAATATGTGTTAATGTATTAAAACGCAAGTAAAGTGTTATATTAAATTATCGTACAAATTATCGTAGTAATATTGCAATGTTATTTTAGTCGGGTTGAATTGAATACGATGAAAGGCAGCCGACTTTCCCTGCCTATGTATTATTAATGTTTCCACACGTACCACTGCGAATGGGAAACAGTTTCGCGTTCACACTCAATTAACATACTTGAACAATTATATCAATAACTTCTACACTTACGAAGTTACGTAGGTACGAGTAGTACTTGAATCACAGAACATAGAAATCTATGTTTTGTGACTTGAATAATACAGTGTGACGGAAACTGACTTTTACTTAACATTAAATGGACAAAATTGGTTTTTTATCGGTAATGTAAATGCTGTGAAGTTTGACCATTTCATTGCAGGCAAATCTGTATTATAGGTGTACCAGAATCTCATGGCAAATAGGGAAAATAAACTTTGTTGAGAGCAATACTGGGGAAATTGGAATAAACGATCTTGATACTGTAATTTTTTACTTTTATTACTTTAATATTAATGAACATGAAGTACGAATATACATTTTAGGTAGGTATGTGTATGATGTATGTTATTAGACATCAGATTTTTAACATAGGTAAATGTCTTGGAAATTAAATAAATCGTATATTACTTTAAGTAACTAATTTTATTATGCATCATACTTATAACTTATCACTTCATTCAGAACTAGAAAACGATTCTAAGAAGTCCACTTGCATTTCTTGTTCTTCAATAGACAGATGATCAAGATAAAGAGGTACTGTAAATAAATTGCTCTTCCAGCATTTCAATGGAGAAGTTCCTGATGTTAAAACACTATATTTCTCTGAATGGGATTAAAATATATACCAAAAGTAAAAAGATGGTGAAGTTTTTATTTAAATCGATCAAGAAATGTCTGAGAAATAAATTATTTANGGAGAAATTTATCAAATATCCAAAAAAATACGAATTATTAAGCAGATTTTTTTCAAAAAGTGTCATTTTTTATTATTTGTTGGCATTTTTTGTGTATTTTATGTATTGTTTTAGTATCGCCTGTTATTTAGCATTATTACTGTTTACGTTTTCTTTACAATAAGTAATTGGAAGAAAAAAAATCTCAAAAATTTTTTGACCTATTTTTTGTCGATAAAAATAGGTCTAGTTTCATCTATTTTCATATGTACACTTTAACGTGACTCACACTGTATGTGTTAATGTATAAAAACGCAAGTAAAGTGTTATATTAAATTATCGTACAAATTATCGTAGTAATATTGTAATGTTATTTTAGTCGGGTTGAATTGAATACGATGAAAGGCAGCTGACTTTCCCTGCCTATGTATTATTAATGTTTCCACACGTACCACTGCGAATGGGAAACAGTTTCGCGTTCACACTCAATTAACATACTTGAACAATTATATCAATAACTTCTACACTTACGAGGTTACGTAGGTACGAATAGTACTTGAATCACAGAACATAGAAATCTATGTTTTGTGACTTGAATAATACAGGGTGACGGGAACTGACTTTTACTTAACATTAAATGGACAAAATTGGTTTTTTATCGGTAATGTAAATGCTGTGAAGTTTGACCATTTCATTGCAGGCAAATCTGTATTAGTAAATATCTTAATTAATTGGATATTGTTTAAAAATTAATTACTACGCGAAGATACAAAATTTCGGTAACAGAGAATATTAAATTGTTACTTGGAATTTTGTATTTTCTTGTGTTGTTTTTAAAAGCAGAAATGGCATGGCAAGCTATGAGTTTTCCGGCTAAGCCCTTCACCTATATCAGGGTTAGAGAAAGGCAGTCGATTGAGTTAGGTGTTTAATGTATGATGCTTACAAAATATCAAAATACACAATTAACACATCCTCTACAGGAAAAACAATAAAGTATTACTCATAATGATCGCTGTGGATAGAAAAAATATCGGAAGGATAGGAAGCTCTTGGCCTGCATCTCAACTGATGGAAAGTGATGATCAGGCCGAAGATGGAAGCATGCTTCAACCGGAATTCTCAAGCACAGAGGAACTCGCTATCTAATCTCTAACTGCCGGAACACAGCAATGTTATTAACATTCATTGTTATTATGGCGACAGACTAAGATGGTGGTAAGTAGCTAGCCAGGCGGACCAACCAACCCGGACAGAAAAATCTGCCCCTACTGGGAAACTAACCCAGGACCTCGGATCAGACGCAGGTGGTCTTATTCTCGTTTTAGAGGCGCTTTAGAAATTTCCATAAAATTAGTCCATCGTCGGAGCTACTTTGCACTGTGTGCTTACCATGAGTTTACGTTAGGTGTGCTCGCTGGCGACTACTGCGTAAAAAAAATACATAAATGCATGACATATTGTGCAGCGCCCCTGGCGGCTACATTCAGGAAATAAAATCTTCATAAATTTTTTGACGTACTCGCTACCGAGCACATCTAACGTAAACTCATGGTAAGCACACTGTTCATGATATGATCTAACTAAAGTTCCACAAAATCTCCTGTGCAGCCAAGACCTAAAACTTGACAGCCAATAAGCCCAACCAGTTCAGGTCAAGTTTGTCCCGGAGGAAAGTTTAACTGTCATGACCCGCACGAAATTATTCAGAAGAAGGAGGAGTTCGAAGTAGGATCGACTACTCTCCAGGGCAAAGCGGGTGATAGGTTGTTAATGATGATCTTTACATCTTCAAAAGAACCTGATTTAGCTTATTGAAATGAATATAAAATTAATTCAAACTTTTTAATATAGGTACCTAAAGTAAATAAAAAATGGGTAGTTTTTAAGTATCTTTTGTCAGCTGAGTCAGGTTACTTTTGAAGATGTTGTCATGATTTTCAGTCCGTCAGATACATTATATTCTTAATAGTATTAGTAAGTACTCGTACTCGTATTGATTAAAAAAAACAATGTTCAAGTAGTTAATTTGCTAATGAACAAAATGCCATTGTCAATTCTGTCCTTTACTTGCCCAATGCTTAGCTATAACGGCAACATTTTGTAACTTCCTTTTGAATAAGGCGCATTGTATTAGGCCATTGCGAATAAGAAACCAAGAATGTGAATAAATACTACAATAGTGTGTTGGCGCTCGCGTGTCTTTCACAATATATCGTATGTAATTGATTTTATTTCACTCATTCTAAAGATATAATCGAGAAATGGTTTATTCGTGTACGTTATGTTATTTATTAGAGGCTAGCTTTTGCCCGCGGCTTCGCCCGCGTGAAAGTTGGCTTGTCACAGATCGTTATAAATTGTTATTCTGATGTATAAACAATAATACTGTAAAGTTTAATCAAAATCCGTTCAGTAGTTTTTGCGTGAAAAAGTAACAAACATGTTAACTCCATACAAACTTTTGCATACCTACCTACGATGTTTTAAACTTTATTTGAAAATGATGACCCTTTTTTCAGGATAGTAGGATTATAATATTACATAGTAGGATAGAATGCAGAAGTGGTTCTTAACTACCATAAAACTCAAAATGTATTTGGAAATTCATCGATAAGTGGTAGCTTGACGAGCTAGTGACTGTATGTACAGTCACGGAATGAAAAGGTCCGTCAGTTTTCAAATTGATTCCTTCAACCAATCGCGAGCACATATTACCTTTTGCAACTATGTTACAGAATAATCTCGAGTTAGAGAAAATAATCTTTAACTGTTCGTCAGTAAAGTTCAAAATTATTCAGATCAAAGTTGTTGGACGATTTATCTTGTCAAGAAGATTATTATGATTGATAAACTAAAACCTTCTTGTTGGTTCAGCCTGCCATTATTATTTCTATTTAATAAAAAAATATATTGTCAATTGGTCAATGTCATCATTGCATTGCACTGATGGGATAGAAAAATAAACAAGCAAAACCTTATTCGTTAGCAAACGTCATGAATATTTATTTAAATGTTAGCAGCACTATTTCTTGCACTGTTATGTTGGCAGGTTTGACTCTTACAGTACCTAGTGCAAGCGAAAACCGACACTAAGGTGACGAACCTTTTCATTCCGCGACTGTACACTGTACAGTCTGTACATAAAATCACATAATATAAAAGTTAAAACTGGTTGACGTACGTAAGTTTCATAATCCATCGAATCCAGGCAATCCGCTGAAGTAAACTAATCACTTATAAATACACTACATCAATTACCGCTACACAGAATACAATTCAAACTAAGTAAGCCAGTAAGTAATCGCCAAGGCTTTCAAAAGAGAACTGCAAAATTATAAAATTCAAATGTATATTATTTCAACAAAACCAACAAACTTACTTCCTACAACTACAATTTTCTTACAACCTTGCTAATCACTCATGCATACACTGTATTGTTTTCAAACATCAGGTAGAAGATAAGAAAATAATCTAACTTGATTATATTAATATAAAAAATCAATTTAGTTGAACATATTTACTGATATAAGTACTCGCACACCAGTGTACCTCAGAAACAAATGCCACATTAAAATTCCACTATTGTCTTTTGTTTTTCACAAATAAATTTGTAATGGCCTCCAAACTACGCGTCAAAATAAAAGAAATGCTGATCGATTTTCGAACAGCACTAGTCTTCTTTTGTTTTGTTTTATGAAAATGACGTGGGTTCCGCTTACCTTATCAGGGTGCGCGTCTTCCAACTCCAGAAGTCTGAACTCCATGAGCTCGATTTGATCGCGCGCGTCGCGCAGTGCGTCCGCTAGCCGCGAGCACTCGCGCGCAGACGCGGCCGCGCGCTCCGCCGCCGATCGGCATTGCCCGCATGACTGTACAACGATAGGCGGACCATGAGTTATGCAAGAAGCGGGATAGTCGCAGCACAAGTCGCAGTTTATACGGTTAAGCGCAGACCATCGATTTTTTATCGGCCGATAGTTTAGTCGGGCAGTTAATCAGTATGGGCATGTATGGACGTTTTTTTTTTATGTGATAGTAAGCAAACGAGCAGACGGATCACCTGATGGTAAGTGATTACCGTCGCCCATAGACACCTGCACATTACACCGATTGACTCTTCATAAAATTAGAATCGGGCCCAACTATCGGCCGACTAAAATTCGGTGGTCTGCGCATAGGCTAAACGAGACACCAAAACCAGCCGGGTTAGGATGCGCACCTTGTACGCTTATCGACGCCAAAATGTATGGGCAAAATCGATAAAATGGCGTGATAACCGCTTATCGCGGCGCGCATCTTAGGTCTGTAGCAATACAATATTAAAACAGTGCCGTTGCAGCTTAAATGCTTAGATATTTTCTGTCAAAGTGTAGACGTAGGGTTAAGAATGTTTTATGTCTAGTCACTCAATCAAGTTGATTTAACTCTAATATGATTTCATAAATCAGCTAATGAGGTTCAAGGTGATATTATGCTTGAGAAATAAATTAAATACGAAGTGTGGTAAGGTAATGTGTACCTTACCCTATTCACAAGTCGCAACTCATTATTCGGCTATGGATCAAACAACTTAAGGCAATAAACTAAATGAATAAGCTTAACGTGAAAATATTTGAGCCTCTCACACATTTGTAATAATCTGTTGAATCTAGGATGTGTGTTAAAAAATTATAAGCTATACCTAGATATCTACAATAATCTACATCTATCATATTTACATGGACTTTAAACTTGTATTAAATTAAGGTAACTGAAAACTTTTACTGCATGATTAATGTCATGTATGCAAAAAAAACTCATTTTCTTCCTTTTTACAAACGGCTAGACACTTTCGGATTAAGAAATTAATAAATCAAGTGGATTTCGTTAATGAAACTTTCACACCGCATGTATTTTGTCGGATGTTGCTATTTGGTCGTAGTTTTCTTTTAATTAAGTTTCGTTTTGCACTATTTATTTTACGAGAAAGGCTTATTACTGAAATTATTATAAATAATGTTCATGAGTGTAAGAACGGTACAAGATTGTATGTAACAGGTATTTCCACTTAACTGTATTCAAAGCTTTGCAATGTAATCTACTAATTATAAAAATAACTGAAAAATAACATGTCATTCCCAATACATATTATTATGTTCTTATTCATCATCATCATCGTCATTTCAGCCATAGGACGTCCACAGCTGAACATAGGTTTCTCCTAATGATTTCCATGTTGATCGATTGGTAGCGGCCTACGTCCAGCGCCTTCCTGCTACCTTTATGATAGTTTCATATTATGATATGAACCCACTAGTAATGTAATAGAATGCTGTTTGTTTTCCTAACAATAAAATAAAAATATATTATTGTGTGAGATATTTGTGAGTGTTTTAGAACAGATCAGATTTAAAAACCACGTTATGTTCTTCATTAATAGTGAGAAAGTATGTGTGAGAGACCAAAATTGACGAAAGCGTTTACATGGGTATTGGGCACGAAAATAAGGGCTAGCATACTTAATAAACAACTCAGAGAAATGACTGGGTGATCAATCATTCATAAGTATAAGACGCAGGGATTTGGAATGTTCCTTCAATTTCAAAGACCACGGTCACCCTACTCTGTATGTCACAATGACGCAACGTCAACCAATAGTTCACTGGGTGACAACTAAATGTTTGAATTGCAATCCTGACATTTTGTACGACGATGTTCTCTTGCTAGACCCAAGGTCGTACCGGATTCCTTGCGTTGTTAGTGTAGGTCGATGTTATGTTTCGATCTACGCACCACCAATGCATATTGAATAGTTTTAATTAACGATAAACGACCTAAAAGACATGGTACAGATACATAATATTATTTAAAAAAATCAATAAATAATTTGATCCTTTTTTATATTTTATGCTTTACATAAAAAATAAGTTTTTGAACCTCATCAAATCATGTTGAAATGAAAAAAACAGAAGGAAATTAGATTTATGTAAAAGACTAAATAATAAACCCTCTTAGAAACACATTAAGTTAGTTTATAATCTAATATTTAATTAAAAACTTAGTTCTTGTATGTTAACCTTTAACCGACGACGTGATTTTTTTGTCACGTCGCCGTCTGCGACGTGCGGTCTGTGAGACCGCTATACTGTTTACTCAAAAAATAATCATTTTTTGTATAAAAGTATATTGGTTTTATATTTTTTGAGAACATTATAGTATAACAAATAAACGTACTAATAATTTTTGAGGAAATAATGTATATTATTTATTTACATATAGGCTAATTCTTTTTTGACCCTTAATTTCATTGAAATTACACAAGAGCTCAATAATACCTCTAAAACTTGTAAATTTTAACCAAATCAAGAAAAACTGTACTTCTTCCTAAATATAGTGAACATAATGAATAAAATAAAAATAAATGATACGTACATTACCATGAACAAAATAAAATTGACGTAGGGTAAACATTAGGCATAATCTGGACATATTTTTTTACCGCATGCCAAGCATTTTCGGTATGCATAGGTAACACCTGTAAGATAATTTCGTTTGCAATTTAGGTGGACTAAAATGTGCGTCGTTTTTGCAGCTGGTGCAATGACATCAGGCTGATTTAGCATGTCAGAGCCAATAATAATGTCACTGTTTGCTTTACCACCCGTTCCGCGGTATTTTTTTACAGACTACCATCTTTTACATCATATTATTATGTCCTAATATCAATATATCAGTAGGAAATGTCTTTCTCTAGGTTGTGTTGGCCCAGGATCCATCATTTTTACACAAAATCAGTCGTCTAAAACAAAAATGCAAGTTTTAGTATAGTACAAAAATATTACGTAGTCTGCGACGTGCGGTCCCACAGACCGCTGTTGAACTTTGAATCGAATTATCTTATTAAAACTGCCCTCATCGATGTAACCACTACCTGTAATGGCGTATGGGTAACTAAACTCGAAGGTACTGAGACGCTCGGGACACGGGAGTAAGTAGAACATTGCAATCCAGAAATTTCAAAAACCGGAGCGGTCTGTGATACCGCACGTCGTCGGTTAAAGGTTAAAGAAAACGAACGAAAAGAAGTCTGTCTTAAAGAAACGCCTTACAGAACATCTTGAGCAAATGTGTCATAATGTGAATTTAAGCTTAGCATAACATATAATTTCTATGTATGTTATGACATCTGCTGTGCTTGTGCCTCCTAATTTTGTCAATTTCATGTACCTGACCCAGACGAACTACAAATGTAGCTTCAATTCACATTAAGACACATTTGCTCAAGATGTTCAGTAAGGCGCGTAGGCGTTTCGTAAGCTCTATGTTAGCAGGTCATAGGATGTACAGAATAACCCGTTGTAACGTTATAGTGCCTTGTGTTAAGGTCCCGTCATATCTAAGAATGTTTACCTACCCACATATCGTTGAGCGGTTGTGGCGAGAGAGAAGCAGGCGCTGATGATACCGCGGAATCTTCGTCCGACGGGTTCTCCTGGAAAGACGAGACTTTTGAGCAAGTCTATAAGCGTGGCAGGCAGCGGGAAATTGATGATGCAGTGTGGTTTAATACATACAGGGTGACTTTGCAAAGTATTGCCAAATCTTTAAAGGAGCGACTCAGAATCAGTAAAATTTCGTACTTAATAAAAGTGTACTCTTTTTTAACGGCAAACACCTAATAACGATGGAATTTGTTGGCTTTTTTATTTATCTTGTTCTCTATCCGATTTACCGTGTCGAAAAATGCTCAGTCCCTTCAATGTCGTCAATATAGAGTTTACACTGTATTTCAATCTGCTGCGTGAGTTTTAAAATTGGCACACATTGATCATAGAAAAATACGCACACACAGTTAACTGCAAAGATAATGATGTGTGTAAATAAGCCTTAGCCTTTAAAACTTAAGATTATGGGCACCCGCGAGTTATATATTTTATTTTATTTTTTATATATAAAAATGGAACCCGTTTCGCGTTGTTACGGCATCACGTGTGAACGGCTGAACCGATTTCGATAATTCTTTTTTTTAAATGTTTGTGGAAGTCCAAGGATGGTTCTTACGGAAAAAAATATTAAGAAAATCTCTACGCTAAGGCGGTACGAAGTTCGCCGGGTCAGCTAGTTTTTTATAAAAATACTACCATTAAGAATATTACGATAAAGTTTATAATGTTCCATAGAACTAAAAAAATTTCAACACCTTGCAATTTCACTCTCCCCAGCAAGCATGTTTTTGGTGGATACCATAGTGAGGCGACAAAAGGCCAAACGGTGTCGGTGTCGGACTAGCCGACTCGAGATATCGAGTCTTCCAGTGACTTGGCCCACTTTTAGCTTGGTCCACGGACCAAGTAGCTGGATTTAATTTTTAAATATTTTTTCTTTCAGCAACTGGGACCTTCAATATTTGTATTAATAAATTAAACACTAAGTCAACAAAAATCTACTTAAGAATCTTAGAGTGGGCCCAGTTATTAGAAGAAAAAATATTTAAAAATTCAAAGTCACGACTTGGCCCTTGGACCAAGCTAAAAGTGGGCCAAGTCGTTGGAATACTCGATTGTGCGACGTATGCTAAGCAAGTGAAAAAGGTATTTTTGTAATTAGCTACTCGTACTACTTTATGGTAGGTACATTATTTATTTTACTGCTTACAACATGATTACTATTACCTACTATTTTCTAGGCTTGCTTAGATAGTGAATTCGGATAAAATAAACTTACCCTGTAAAATGTTTCTTTTCTATGCTGTATGTCTGTTTTCAAATCTTCGCGGTTGGTCTTCTCTTTACCCTGCAACAATAAGAATTAAGATTGAGTTTTAAACAAATAGTTATAAAAATAAATGAAATAAAAAAGGAGTCTTCCAGTGATTTGGCCCACTTTTAGCTTGGTACACCGTCAAGTCGCTGATTTGAATTTTTAAATAGCTTTTCTTCCAGTTACTGGGCCCAACTTCAATGTTTTTTAAATAAATGAAACACCAAATCAACAAAAATCTACTCTGGAATCTTTATTCTCAAAAACAAGACCCTTTATTTTCCATAGTGATAACTTTAATGATTAACACAAATAAATAACAATGATTCGCTATCGTGCATGCCTAGCCTACGTATGATTAAATACTATATTGTTTCCTATTTCCACATAGCAGGTTAAAAGGGACTGAAACCTCTGAAATCTGCGCTAAGTCCTGCCTCCTGGTAATATTGTAAATATGAAAGGATATGAGGATGGATAGATGGTAGGGGCTTTGATGCTGGATGTTTGTTACTCTTTTACTCTTACGTTTGAAACTCTGTGCAGATTCTGCCATACAGAAGAAGAAACGGCCATGCATGTTCTTTGCTCATGCGGCCCGCTTATGAGCAAAAGAAGTATCCATCTCGGGCGACACATCATGCACCCGGATGAGATAGCAGATATCACGCTCCAAAGAATCTGGAAATTTATAGACTCAACGGGACTAAGCAGTGAACTCTAAAGACAAGGGCTGCCACAATAGATCAAACCTGGTCGAGCTGGCGCAAATGAAGGCCCAAAACCAATAATAATAATACTCTTTTACGATTAAACAACTGAACCAATTTAGTTGAAAAGTACCTGTGGAGTTTAAAAGAGAGTTTAAGACCCAGGAAAAAAACTATGCTAGTATTTATCCAGAACTTATAAGGCGAGATTGCGTTCAAACACCAGCCTATAGTTGGATAACAATTACTGTTGTCTCTATTATATAAACACCCTGTATTTATCAATATGCCGGTAGTTACCGATAAGATTTCACTAGTCTAGGACAGGAAAGGCAACCGAAAGTGAACTATCCCACGCGATCGGAGTATTAACGCGATCGAAAGTAAAACGCGATCCCAATACACATCTCTGATCTCAGTGCCCAAGCGGCATTTACACTGGACTACATCATTTTCTGAGTCTTCCAGTGACTTGGCCTACTTTTAGCTTGGCCCACGGGTCAAGTCGATGGATTGAATTTTTACCTGACTGCGCCAGAAGGAGGGTTATGTTCTTTAAAAAAATGTTCTTCCAGCAACTCTAAGATTCTAGAGTAGATTTTGTTGGTTTGTGACAAGTCACTGGAAGAGCCCATTTTCGATGACCTTAGATTGGACACGATTTGAAACTGTTAAAACTGTTTTTTTTTTATTTGAAATCAAGTCGGTGTGTTTGAAAAACAAAACTTCACCAAACTCGCCCACCCGCGCCGACAGGAGTCGCCGACTTTTAACGTGTTTTCAAAAGTCACAGACAAGTCGTCGTCGTTGGAGTCCTTTAATTAGGTTGATTGCGATTGTTTTTAAGGCTGTAATTAAAGCGAAAATTTATGGAATTTCCCACCATATTTTTCAAAGTTATTCCTAAGTAATAACGCAAGGTGTAAATCCGCTGTTTGATAACTCCACGGTTATATTCAGTAAGATCCCAGAAGACTGCAATGCATGCTGCGAATACGTTGTCGCGATTTCTTCACTGAGATCCAAAACACACTTTCACTGGGCATTGTTTGGGTAATAATTAGTAAAAGCTGCGAAAGTCCGTTCTGTATGGAGCTAATCTTCAGGTTATTAGAGGAAAACCTGGTTATGATAATCAAGCGAGGTATCTTAATTTGTTGCCGTAATTCTTTGTGATAAGATTGAAAGTTGCGTTGCGGATTTCTGTTCAAGGATTTAGGACGTAACTGTGCACGCACTGCTCCTGCTAAAATTTTTATTTAAAAAACCTAAACATAAGTTCTGTTGAAAATATTATCGTTATACTTTTTTAGTATTCTCAAAAATTAGGTTATTCCCAAGTTGGTAAAAGCTTTTATTTACCTAGATTGGTCGACTGATTTTAATTTATTACTGTCATTGAGACCATTAAATATCAAACAGACAATTTTGTTTACAAGAGGTTTGTTTAATGACATTATGGTATTGTATTAATATATTTTGTAACCACAGCTTTTGCTGCATCTCACCAAATGCAGTGTTGATCAGGCCGAAGGTGGAAGCATGTTTCACGCTGCAACGAATCATCAAGTCTCTACATTTTTGAACTTTAAGAGCAAAGTTTGAAGAAATCATTAGCAAATATTGAAATCTGACCGTTTATACTTCCACTAGAACATAACATCCTGTGTTGCCAGTCGTGTGTCCTTGATGCAGTTATGTCTCCGACAAGGCCCATTTAAAACCGTCTAGTTGCCCCAGTTCCCAGCTTGTATCGGAATGGTCTAATAGCAAACCTATAAATTACCTACTATCACCGTTAAAAGCATTGAAGTAATATTACTTTAAAAAGTACAAATAAAATAGGTGTAAAATGGAACAAAAAAGCCGGCCAAGTGCGAGTCGGAATCACGCACCGAGGGTTCCTTACAAAACTTTAAATGTAAATTCGCAGTTTTTCTTTTTCTATGACATATAGACACAAACGAATGAAGCCAAGATAATTTCATTCATAATACAAGTAGATTGACTGATTGGCATTAATTAATTCATTTAGGAATAGCACCTTTCTAATTTGATGCCGGTAATTACGAAGTAGAGCTACGAGTATTCGTAGATTTTCATTGACAACTTTCGATTTATCAAAGTCCCCCTAGAGAAATATTTTACTCGATACATTAATCTATCTATACTTATAATAAATCTGTGGAGAGGTCAATTCTGTACATGAAATATATTTTCAAAATAACTATCAGGGGGTGATTAGTGATCGATACTGATGCCAAAAATGCAATCAGTAAAATTTTTGTCTGTCTGTCTGTCCGTCTGCGTCTGTATGTTCCTTATAGAAACAAAAACTACTCGACGGATTTCTTCTGAAATTCTTATGAAATTTTATGTGTATATTCAGTAGTTTTAAGAGTAGGATGTAAGCTATTTTTCTTATAATCCTAGGTTAAGGGTTTTTCACGCAAACGATGTCACGGGCACAGCTAGTATAATATAGCTGCTCTATGAAATTCGTTGCAAGCTCTCTGACCCCATTGGAAATGTCAACTGAACCATCCATCTACGTAAACGAGTCGGCTTAAAAGCGAAATGCATTGTTTGATGCGGTTGAAACAATAAGCCATGGGAAAGTGTGACCCCCTGTCACGACCTACCACAAGGTACAGTCGTACGCATAAGTGGAAGAGTATACACACCTTAAGGAAATTAACGCAAGGAAATCGAAGCTTACTAACACTNTACTAGATTTCGATCGTGTTCCTCCGTGGTTGAGGATTCCGGGTGGAGCTTGCTTCCACCTTCGGCCATATCATCACTTACCATCAGGTGAGATACAGGCCAAGAGCTTCCTCGTTGTATATAAAAAAAAAAGATTTAAATTCGAGCCTAAATCAATCCTGTCATTCTTTTAACTTAATTTTAGGAGCAGGATATCGTTTCTTGATTCAGCCTCAGATTCGTAAATACGGATTGATTCTATGTACACTTTATGTAGGTCCCTACTTGACAGTACGAGCCTCAGATCATAGAAGGGTTCTAGGGAAGAAACCTTCTATGATCTGAGGTACGAGCTAACCATTATGATATTAGAATTTGACAGCGGCGGCGGCAGGGCGCTGTGCGGAGCTGTGCGGAGCGAAAAAGAGATGTGGAAATAATGAGATCTGATTGGTTATTCAAAACACATCTCCGCTCCGCCTTGGTGGGAAAGACTTTAAAAATTAAATGCGCATGCATTTTCCATGCGCAAACGCATGGCGAGTGAACGGCCGGCCAGGGCCAGAGGTGCTGGCATGACCAATGCACTTATGATAACGATCGGTGTTGCAATGCAAGGCTTTATAGGCTTTGACAATATGCTAATCCACTGCGACGTGCTTTTAAGCGATTTTGTCAAAAATATTATAGGCAGCTAGCTAATAACTCACAAGATAAACGACCGTGGTGCATATCTTTTCTTAAAAGTTACTTAAACCTTTGTTTTGTCATGTGTCATCCGCTTTGCACTGGAACTCACTCGAACCTTAACTTCAAACTCGTTCTATTCTTCTGATTAATTTCGTTGCGGGTCCAATGACAGTTTAACTTTCCCCAGGAAAAACTTGAGCTTTACCGGGAATAACGTATTATTGGCGGCCAAGCTGTAAGGTCCTGGCTACACAGGAGTTGCATCGGTGGGAACGAGAGGTGGGAATAGTCCCGTAATCCACTGGGAGATCCTACAGGGTTTGTAACATTGAATGAATGCTTCACCAGGCGTTATAAGCCCATAAAATAATGTTCTAGTCAATATTTTAACCCTCCTCTCCCTGTGTCGTCTGGATGCGATGACATTACCTAAGTTTAACCGTTCTATTTTTAACTGACTTCAAAAAAATAGTTATTTTTTATAATTTGCCATTTTTTTATTAAAGAGTACCTAGTTTTTTTATCAATCGATTTTAAATATATGATTTGAAAGCTTTCACTGTGTGGGTAAGATCAGTCAAGTCAAATGTTGGAAAACGTAATATTAAAAATATTCTACAAATACGAGAATAAATAATTGATTTGTTTATATTATTTCATCACACCTATAAAATGACATAACACACGCGTGGGTAAACGTAGTAAAACACGAAAGCAGGTGTCATAGGAATCAGTAATCGGTATGTAGGTTGCACCTTCAAAACTTGGTGCACGTCAACTTTCTCCGGACTGCCGAATGCCGATGTTCCAAATCGATTAACGATTATAATTCGATTACGCAAGCGAGGATCGTTTCATTCCGATTCCGGAGTATCAATCAAGTTCTTAAGAACAAAAGAACGATATGGTAATTCAAACGTGTGACGC